GTACCCAGCTCCCGGAATTCGGTGGTAGTAACGCTGATTTTTGACCCGCCCAACTATGGCATTATTAATTGGGACACAAAATTGAATCTGATGGAATTGTTTGCGGTGATTTACGCTCTGCCCTCTCTCTTTCAGTTTCTATAGAAGTGTGTGACTTAATTTTGAGTCCACCAATATCATAACCATACACCATCTTAAGACGAGAGATAATAAACCAATAACCTGTCCACCTGTCGCGACGACTGAAGAGAGGTGAATAAAGCGTCACTTGTTTTATGTTAGAGACAGAAATTCAGGCTTGAACGCTTTGGTGGATACCGGTGCTGCTTTTAAAATCATTTCTCAAAACGAAACATTACTGAGTCGAGAAACTTCCCTAGTTACACTTCAAGCTTCCAACAAACTTAAAATTGCGACCTTTTGGGACAGGAAACTTTGACGCTAGACTTGGGATTTAAGAGGCGTTCACTGTAGCCGATTCAGATTTGGCAACGCTGGAAATGGAATTTTTAGGGAGATATGAATGTCTAGTCGACATTAAGAAACGGCGCTTGACATTGAAAGAAAATTTAAGTTACACAAAAGGCTAAGAAATTCATATCACACCTCTAAATTTAATACAAACTTCTGAAGTAATAACTGCGAAATTCCAGGATACACTCGCAGGTTTCGTCGGCTCAAATTTATCCCGGCTGAGAAACTACCTAGAAGATATGATGTTTCGTAAATATATTACACGCGTTATGGAAAGTCTTTATTAACGGCTTGTTAGATAAAATTAGCATGGGGGCACTTTTCAATGCAGACGACGCAAAAGTCTGGAGGTCTGCAAGAATCACGTAGGACCTTGCAACAATAGAGGGATGAGTAGTATACACAAAGTTAAAAAGGAACCTGTCGAAATGTCATGTCATGAACGTTCTGTCTCATTTGACACAACGCAACTACACCCTTCATGAAAGTGAGCTCCTGATTGTCTTGGGTTTATCACTACAAACAGCTTAGACACCAGTTCAAATTACACAGGGGACAGAACCACAGCAAGCGCAACTCTCTAATTTACCCGAAAACAACCTGGCTCAATCACTCAAGTTGCTGCTAACACTGTTCAAAACCTATGAACAACCCCACCTTGAGGTCCACAAAGTCGTTGCACCCCCTCTCTTCAGAAGATATATGAGCCTCTTAGACCAAGTATGGAGAAGAGCAACTGATTGGATGCTAAGGATAAAACACAGATCCCAAGTGGACAGACTCCTGCACCTGGGACTATTTTCGCTGGGTTACAGGAGAGTAAGAGGTGATCTGGTAATGGAACCCCTACACGAGCATATTAACAGAGCAACACCACCACTCTCCTCGAGGCGACAATCAGATTTCACATCAAAGAGCGAACACTCAGGCACGCTATCACTTTGTTTCGTTAAAATTTGTCCCCACTTGGAATGCTCTCCCAGCTAAAGTGACTGCAATCCTATCAGTGGATAAATTTGAGAGGAGACTCGATAAAAACGTACTCACCCAGGGATTACAATCCCCCTTTTGGACTAACTGTCTGTTGCAGTTTTCGTAAATCACTACTGTTATTATTAGCATATATCAGTAGCTACTTTATCTCTCTCTTATTACTATCTCTGTTTCCCCTCTTATTCCTTCAACTGAGTCTTCTTGCATATTAGCAATCATGTAAATTTTTAGGTATCATTACCAAGTTTTGATAATTTCGAATAAATTGAGCATTGGGTAGATTGTTATAAATAAATAATATATTTGTAACATTCCAATGAGTAGAAGAATTAGAGTTTCTGACGTTTCGTGACTTAGTGTAAGCCATTTCTTCAGAGAATAAATAACCAAATTAAAATTAACCTAAGTCTAAATAGTACAACGGAACAACACTAATATTATGTGATCAATCAAAAAACAGGTCTGAATGAATCAATATCGTGTCATTTCGGTCGAGGTGAATCATAAGCGACAAGTATGTAAATTTTTATGTATATGTGCACTGTTAAGGATGAAAATTGTGGGGTGAGAAGGGATAGAGTTCGATTTGTAAGGTAATACCGTGAATTGTAAATAATATCAGACTAGGTGGCTAGGATAGATAGTTCAAGTAGGATGCATGCTAAGGCCTTCTCTATTGAAAGAAGTAGGATTAAGCATTATATGGAGCGCTTCAGCTACTCTCCTCTCTTTGTAATTGGGAAAGCCTTTTTGTAACATTTTGATAGTTTTGAAATCGATTTGCTGATCGTTGAAAATGGCGTGAACTGCTATTGCTGATTTAATTTGAAGTCTATCTAGTTCTACAGCGTTATTAGGACGTTTCTCTGAGTACCTAATATGTTCTTTGGCATGAGTCAAGATTTCGCGAGATGACTCTCCAAGATAGAAGGTATCACAGTCGATACAACCGAATTTGTAGACGTGATTCTATGTAGACATGAATGAGATTTTTTCTTTTAATCGAACATAAGTATTTCAAAGTGTGTTCGTTGTTTTGTAACATACTTTAACTCTGTGTTGTTTGAAGATTCTTCGGAGTTATGTTGTGCCGTGATGGTATGGTAAAACTGCAGTACCAATCCATGGCATTTCATTCGAATTATTATTATTATGCACTGAACCGTCTTGTTTTAATAATCTTCATAGGAAAATTATTAAATTGTAAGATAATAAATACATTCTTTTGTTTGTCCTCTTCTGATGTGATGATCTGTTGGTTCTTCTAAACAGATTTAAGGCTAGCGAGATCTTAACACTGAAAGGATGTACTGAGTGGAATTCAATATAGCGATTAGAGTGTGTACGCTTTCGGTAGATGGGTGGATTTAGAATTCCATTTAGATTTCCTTTCACTAGGCAATCTAAAAATGGTAGCTCACCATGTTCATTTTCATTCTGATTCGTGAATTTGATGTGAGATGAAAGTGTATTTATCCGTTTTGAAAACTATCTTAGATGAGTCTTTTTTATCACAACAAATGTATCATCTGTGACCTCATGCCCGACCCACCTCCTTTATCCAGGTTGGCGAGCGGCAGTAACCCTAAAACGGCTTGACGAGGAGTTTCAGGAAGATACTTTGACACACAATGAACCTGGTAAAAAGAATTAAGAGAAACGCAGTATTCGCTTTAACTATGACGGATGTCATGTTTGTATGAAATAGTGGTTGTTATATAAATGGTTCTGCGGCTGACTTGATTCACAAATAAAATACTTCCAGTCATGCTCACTGCGTTCTCCTTGATTTTGTTACTGGTATATACAGAATTATACCCATTATTATTGTTCGTCATATCATGATATTATATGAAGTATCGCCTTCATTAACAAATATGCCTCAGACGGAAACGCTTGTCTTCATATGTAGTGAATTGTGAAAGCGATGAATGGAAATTAGTTTCCTTCTTATGACTTGATCGGGATGTGTACAATAAGTGTAAATTTTTGTTTAACAAGGAGTTCTATAGACAGCGTGATGTAGTCACTATGGAGCTATCACTACTTTCAACCCTGAAGGATTTCTTTGAGAAATTAGAAAACAGCCTTTTGAGAAGCTTGATAAACGAGTTAGAATTTCATTGACGCTGTTTGATAACACTTATAGTTCTAAGAAACCAGAATTAAGGCCCAGACTTATCGAAAACTTTTGACGAAATTCCTCAAACAAAAGAAGAAAACTGTGATAACATCTTCTTCCCAGACTTATTATTGACGAGGAGACCTGAAAGGACAATAAACAGAAATCTTTGTCGTAGACTTACTACACTAAGCCAATATATACATTTTTTGGGCTATTTTCCGCCACAATATAAGCGAAATGAAGCTTAACACCTGGTCCACAGAACTGAAACGACTTGCAGTGATGATACAAAGAAAAACTAAAATATTCGTGATCTGCGTATAAAAATATATCTATCGAAGATTCTGATAAAATATATATCTGTAACAAAATTCAAAGTAAAATCACCGACAATACTTAAAGGAGCTCCCGTTCCTGAAATTACAGTCCAATCATGATACAGCTAGTGAAATAGCGATGTGACACAAGGGAAATTCCATAGAACGAAAATCTAATCGAATGAAATTGTTTTTTCCTTTTTTTCATCCAATCATTAATGAGTTCATGAGATAAGGACAAGCTAACTAGTTTCGCCGTCTTTGTATTTAACGGTTCAACCGCTCTTGTGGAGCAAGTAATATTTTGCTTACAATCAGGTTAATATATTATCACATTTCTAGACATCACCTCTTGATTGACTGAAGGACAAAAATTAAGAAGCTCTGTTTTGGGATATTAAGTCGAAACCGGTAAGTTCAGATGTCAAACTTATTCATAGAAGTCAGTTGAACTTACCCTACGCTTCCAGAATCTGTCTTTTACATACAGTAGAAGACATAGGTATATACATCGATAAACTGAGTCTTAGTGTACAGATATTTTTATACAGCCTCTTAATTTACTCGAAGCTTTTACGTAGTTACTCTTGCATTTTCAATTAACAATTTTATTCTTACGCAATCTGCTTATCTTAGAAATGTGATAAGATAGTTTTTCTACATTCGTTCCATCAAATTTTACAAAAGATCTGTTAAAGTGGAAATATTTCTCAAAATTATCATGATGTCTCATGACTAAGAAAAAAAACACAAAAGTAATAAACATAGACTCAAAAGTCACATTAAAATTAACAAAATATTCCTAGTTTAGATAACATTCACAGGATGAGTGTATCATATATGCCTATATGAACGAAAATAGACGTTTTATTAATTGAATGCTTGATATATTTCTCCTTATAACCAAGGAGTTAGATGAAAACAATAATCTTTAAGGTTTAAACAAAATCGTAAAATTATCATGCATTTTTATAGTCATCACTTTCGTCATCATTATAGCGTACTTCAAGGTTATTACTCAGTGTGTATAATTTCCTTTCCTTTTCTATTCATCGTATTTGCTCTTGGTACAACTGGCTGTTCTGTTTATTTCACCACCAGCCATTTGGTGTCAAGGTTGTTGTATCTTGATGTTTTAATTGTAGATCAGTTGAGTCAGATACATTTCCAGCAGCATCGTGTGATGGACCCCATATTTCACTATGTGCACCATCTAAATATTTGCGTTTCCGTCGCTCCATTTGTAACTCATACGAACGTTTGTTTACCTAGAAACGTTTATAAATAATTATCGATACATTTTTTCTAATCTGACTAAAAGGAGAATAACTAACGTAGCAGAATAACATAAATTAATCATATTTTACGACTTTTCATCAGCTGCTTATAACCTAAATATAATAGTACTATTCATTAAAAGTCAGCATACATACTTTAAAAAAGAATAATGAAAAGAGCAGTAAATAAGGTAGAACTATACGAGACGTATGTTAAATAGTGAGAACTTTGGGCTAATGAGGATTAACCCCACTACTGAACAATCCCATGTTGAAGCTGCAACGGACCTGATATGTTATAGCAACCATCTACAATCAATTTCGATTATAGCCAATTTTGGTTAAGCCTTTTTTATAACTTACTTAACAGACATCGTCATTAGGATAGTAACAATTTGCATATTCTTTGCACTGCTATACCACTAGAGCACATGACACTCTAGCCAAAATGTTGACTGCTTAAATATCATTCGATGACTCATACTCCTCCCCATATATGTACGCACACAAATATTATTATCAGCCTTTGTTTTGCTTTGCTGTGCCCTTATTAAATTTGACTATAAATTGCCTGTGTAGTTGCTTGCTATTTGCTCGCTTGCTCCTCGTTCGCTTCCTTCGCCTGTTCACTCGCTCGTTCATATTCGCTCAGGTGTTGTTAGCTTTCGAACCTTAGTCATTCGACAATAAACTGTAGTTGCTGCTATCCTTTGTCTTCTGATTTTACGCACCGTTAAGATTAGAATCATAACGGTTATCGAAGTAAACGATTAACGAATCGCGGCACTACAGGATTGGAGGCCTCGCCGAGATTCGAACTCGGGTTGCCGGATTCAAAGTCCGAAGTGCTCACCGCTACAATGTAAACTAAGAACCGGAGTTTCTTATTCTAATAAAGTCCTTGAAAAACTCAATACTGTACGGTGAATTTTACAATTTCTTCTGAGAGGTTCAGTCGAAAGTTTGTAAAAAGTGAAAAGACATCATCAAAATCTCTTGTTCAAGACCAACTATGTGTAGACGTTCAAGTTTAACTTGAATAGAATTGCGATGGGGATAATTTTGTTTTTATTTAAATTCCACATCCCAGGAAGATACAATCACAGAATTCATACCAAGAATACATAAACCTTTTCTTTTATGACCACTATTATCAATAATTAATTCACTTCACAATTTCGACCACTGGTTAGCCGATCATTTAGAACTGATCCGTTTAAATTTATCTGTTTAAAGCTGGATTGACATTTTAAAACTCACTCAATTACTAGAAAAATTTGAAATCCGATAAAATCACGGCTTTATTTGATTTACAACCATTAGTTACTAGAGTCCCAATAGAATAAACCATACAAATAACATCTAGATACTCTGACCTAACCCCCTAACAGAAGATGAATTTAGTCAGCTTCTATTAATGTTTATCAAAGATAACCACTTTTAATTCAATAATGTCTGATATTTTCGTATTGATAGAGTAGTTATGGATAGCCCACTGAGGTACGGAAAACCTATGAAAGACGGTAACGAAATCGGTAATCAATGACACAACATTGTACGTCAGGTATATTGAAGGTAGTACTAGATATCCATCCAAGCATTAAATTAACGATAAAATATGTCAAACTATTATTGGATTCAACGCTATTCACCTCTAAAGGGACTTCATATAACCAAACGAATTGAGTGGTCATGGGATTCCCAGTACCTCTGATAGTTGATAACTTCTTCATGTTCCATATGGGTTTCCTTATTTTTCCAGTACCATAAGACCACGCATTTGGCTCACATATGTAAATGATACATTTGTCATCATTGAAAAGATTCTCCTAAGAAATTTCTTTAAACGGATAAGCACGTCCTCACAAAACATCAAATTCCCTCCCGAAAAAAAGATGAACATAGTAATCTACCATTCTTAAACTGTTTAGTTAAGAGGAATTCTAGGTGAAATCCAAATCTAACCATGTACCGAAAACCGACACATTTAAATTAGTATACAAATTTTAACTCTGCACATTCATTTAGTGGGAAAATTTCATTAGCTCTGAATCAATTCAAAAGAGCAACCTCAAAAGGCAAGCTAAAAGAAGAAGATAATATAATAAACATCCCACAATTTAATAATTTTCTTATGAAGATTGTTAAAAACATATTAAAACAAAACTGCTTATCCATAAACAATAATGCTAATGAAAAGTTTTGTATTGATAGTGTGATTTTACCTTACTGCTAAGATACGACAGAAAACTTACAAAATTAAAGCTTTCTATGGGACAACCAGCACTCTAATAAAAGCTATAGTTAGAATAACAGATAAGATCTCGTTTGCATCTACAGATTAGGTTGTATCGATTGTGATGCATTCTACATTGGAGAGTCTTCCTGTGAGATCTCAACTACTGCAAAGGAACACGTAAGTCACACAAAAAGATCTCCCAATAATCCTATTTAATTTAGAAGCTAAATCAAAAATAGCAGTACACGTTATTATCAATAATCTCCAAATTGATATTAAAAATATCAAAATGCTTCAAAGGCTTTTTCAACTATAAAGAGAGGCGAGTAGCCGGACCATTTCATATAACCCCAAATCCCTCTGCCCTCAATAGGAAAGGTCTATTCATACGACTTGGACTGCTTTCCGGACAACCATATTTGATTCCATCCATTTTTCCCAGTCTACACACAAACACACACTCAAAATCTTAATTCTACTCCTTCATATTACAAATTACACATTTTTCATACAAACACAGTGATATCTGACACAAAATCACGACCGAAAATTCACATGATATGGATATAATCAGACTTATTTAAATCTTGATTGAACTAGAAGTAATTTGCTTTGTTTTCTTCGTATTATTTCAGCCTGTGTTAATTTATACGAATATTCGTTAATGTTCGAAGGAATAGTTTGACAGGAATTGGGCGCCGAGTTTATCAAAGACATTGTTTTTGAAAATTATATTCAAAATAATCCCAACGATAAAAATTTAAATAATTCCAACGTTTCGTCCAGCAAACTTGTCTAGACTTCTTCAGGGTAATAATCAAAACCAAAATTATCAAGGAATATATGACGTTTGAGAATCAGATCAAACTTATACTGTGTTTATCCAATCATAACAACATGTTGACTTGAGTAAATAGAATAAAATAAGTCAGTTATATGTGAAAAGTTAACAATGTGACGATAAATGAATGAATGTGTAAGTTTGAGTTATCAATTATTGATATTAGGTGTCAATTTGTTTTTATTAGAAGTAAAAATAAAAGTGCAAATTGAAAATGATTTTTCTTTGAAATGTCGATGTGTATGTGAAACGAGAACCATAAATTACATAATTGTAATCATAAAATATTCAGATCAACTTCCATCAGAATAGAAATACATGCGAAATAAACAGGCGGCATAGAGATAGGGTGCAATTATTCGTTAGTGATCATTTGCAAGGGAGGCTGGTTGAATATCACCCTTTCTGTTCAGGCTGTTCTCATTAGCCCATATATATATCGAGCTTCTGATGTTAATCTTTCTTTGTGTGCAAGAACCTTCCTGAAGCATTTTGGTCCCTTCGGAGTTGATCTTGTTTCTTTTTTTTTTAGCTCATGAGACGATATTGCCAACCTGTTCTCAAGTTTTTTGGGAATATGTTTCGAATGTTGTTTGTGTCCCATTAACCTAACATTCAATTGTCTAGATATTTCTTTCACTCGAGCTTCATTGCAATCATGACAGCTGATCTCATGGACAACATACTGTTTTTTAAACCTATCCTTAACTTTCACATACCCGAAAATACACTAGTATATTATGTTTGTTTAGAATCCCCTTAACTTCCTCCGATGTTTCTTTAACCTATGGGATGACCACAGTGGTCTTATAATCCTTCGGTATACACTCTAATTTAGTTTTCCTTTGATTTTTAACAACCTTTAAAAACTCTTTAGGGAAATTGTTTACCCCAAGTGTAGACAATGTTCCATTCAATTAAGCCTGTTGGTCTTCGTTCTCTGTAATTAGATTAATACCACTGTTAATTAAATTTTTTACCACTGTGACGGTACAACGAGTATGAACTAAACCATAATCTAAGTATCTCTCAGAATGTGTTGATTTCTTGCATACATTGATCTTTAAATTATTATTATGCCTTCTTTCAACCAAACAATCGAGAAACGCCAGTTTGTGGTTAGTAAACTCTGTCTCCTTGGTTAGCATAACGTATCTGATATGTTGTCTACATGGTCAAATATTTTTCCCCAAGCAATTTTGTTTAATGCTGATAAAAAATGTTATCTACAAACCGTAACCAAAATTTTGATGGATTTACACATTTTGTGATCGCAATAGTTTCTAAGGAATGGATGAATAAATTGGTGAACCTACAGCCACACTGTTATCTGTAAACATTGCCCCGGAATAAGAATGTGGATTGTAAAAACAATTACGACCACTTAATAACTTCGGAACGATCTAAAGGCAACTTAAATTCAAATCTGTGTCATATTCTAAACAACCATAGATAATACCCAATGCTCTATTGATAGGTATATTGGTAAATAAGGAAGAAACATCAAAACTTGCCATCATTTCATCCTCTTCTATGTGAATGGTATCGATATTATGCTTGAATTCAGTAGAGTTTTTAATTCCATGATTAAACAATTTGTATTGTGGTTTGAGTGTCTTAGCTAAGTATTTAGCTAGTGCATAAGTCGATGAATCCATAAAATCAACCATTGGTCTCAGTGATGTACTATTCTTGTGAATCTTTGGTAATCGATAGAATCTACACGGATTAAAACCTTTTTGGATATAATATGAACCATAATGACTGTCCTAGTCTTATTTTAATTGACTATAAGATTTTACTCATATCAGCCATAAGTTTATCGTTTCGTTAAATTAATTCATATGGGCCATCCTGAAAATATGCTTTGGCCTTTTTCTCGTAGTCTGATTTATTCATAATGATAGTTGTGTTCCTTTTATCTGCTCTCGTAATGATAATTGTCTTATCGCCTCTCAGCTGTTCTAATGTATATAATTCATCTTTAGTTAGATACGAAGTGTGTGGTTTTTTGATGTAATAAAGTGGCCGCCATTTTATTCCTTACGTCATTTACAGTTTCATTCTAAAGGGAATTCAATCCCCGTTCAATTGCAGGTATGATATTGAAAGGTGATAATTGTGGTTTACTTGCATTGAAATTAAGACCCTTTTTAGGCAAAGACATTTCGTGGGTACTTAGATTTCTACCTGATAAATTAATGATCAATTTGTTAATATTCATTGTGTTAGATTTGTGTTAATTTCATTTGGTTATTTATCTATTTACTCTGAAGAAGTGACTTGGAGTAAGTTACGGAACGTCAGAAATCTAAATTTCTATCCATCTTGATTTCACAAAAATGTAATATTTTCCCATTTAAACACTAAAGACAGGAAGTTCAGTCAAAGGATTTCTTTCAACGAATTTATTATCAAAGCTGTACAACTGTTTATATGTATGAAAATTTTCATTACAGTTCAGTGAGGACAAATGAACAATGAATAAACATGATGACGCAATAGAAAGATTACAATACTGTTTTACGTAATGGGAATGATATTAATAATTTTATTCATAATTGTTTCTGATATCATTTCAATTCATTTTTGCCTTCCTATTACCTTTAACTATTGTTAATAGTTGAATTCATGAGTCGATCTAAGCTACACCACCATTGAAAACATGGAAGCATAGGATATTTTAAGCATCTTACTTCATCCACATTATCATCCATTGCTAACTATTGAATTTTATGAGGTTTTCTACTCGCACACACAATCGTTTATTTTTGTTATTTATATTACTCAATCTTTTTATTACATCATCATGCTTATTGATTGTTTATTTGTCCTCACGGAACTAATACTTTAACAAAAATTATCATACACATATATGACTGTACAGCTTGATAATAAATTCGTTGAAAGAGATACTTTCATGCTTTTAGTATAATTATTTAATCATTAATAACTTTCTACCTAATGCTTAATTTACTTTAGACTATCAAGTTTAACCTTGGTATTGATAACTAGAGACTTTTATGTACTTATTCTGAAGTGATAATGAAAATTAACATGTACAGTCAACAAATTTGAGTGCGAATATGAATTTCCATTGATTCTAGTATGAGGTTGTTTGCTATATATTGCAAAATTTACGGAAATTAGAGTGTTTGACACTGATTTTCAATTTCGTGAATTAAAAACATTAAATGGTCTTCGTGATTTCCCAGGACAGAGTTGGATGGAGAATGCTGATGGGAGGCCTATGCTCCTTCACCAAAGGTAACAGGTGTAAGTAAGTGATGCTATAGGCCTTTTTCGTGAGGGAGTGCTGAAATAGTTCTCAATACAGACTAATTTTTAACAAATCTTCGTTTGATATCAGTTCATGATTAAAGAAATAATCTTTTCCAAGGTATCTTTAGAAGAATGTTGTTTTTATAATTATTTATTTAGGTATAAACAGAAAATCTGTTTCAGATAACTTTTAGGCCAGGAGCATTGAAAGATTGTTTCTTTCTAGCACGAGATCCCTCATCAGTGATGACCCATAACTACACCAGACATAGAGCTTGAGGTCTTCGGGGTTCCTTGAGAGTACGTAACCAGCAGACCATTGGGTTATCATTAAAAAACATTCATTTCCTATTTCATGCAATCCGAAACACAGCATGACGTCCATCTATAGCCATTAGTGAAGACAGTTTTACGTATGACATAGCTGAATTTCAGTGATTGTGGTTGTTCACCAGAAGTTCAAAAACTTATCTTGAATCATAAAAATATTAAGCTTATGATTACATTCAACTATCGTCAATCTTTGAAGAATATCATCAACAAGTTAAACAGATTTCCACAAAATCTTTACACCGAAAACATTTTTTTCCGCTATGAGTTTCGTTCTGGGTTCAATCTCATGTGGGGGTAATGACTGGGCATTATTGATGGGTCTGGTTTTAGTGACTTTCCATTTGATGCCAGCCAACAACAAAAACCATAATTTAGAGAAAGAAAAACACTTTTAAAACAGTTAATATCATACAACTTACAAACGGTATTAAAAAATTATGTATTAATTCAGCAGCTAATTCATTTGTTTTTAATTCACCACGATTTAATTCATAGAGATTATCATGTTCAATTTTTTGAGCTAATGTCGAAATTTCCTCCTTAGCTAAGTAATCAGCAGCACTATTTACAGCTAAGTCAGCAATATTTTTCAGATAACTATCAACTGTTTCTTCATGTACCTTAACAAGCTTAATATTAAAAAAAACATTAACAAGGAATTTATTAATCAAAACTAATGATATATTGAAAATACCTGAAAAGTGATAACTTCGTGATTTAAAGTGCAGTTACAAAACACATACATTCTTTAAAATATGACTGTTACAGAAATGTATTTAAATTTTTTAGGAAAATTAAATTAATATAAGCTTCATTTTATTCCTTAAGCTAAATAACAACCAGGTTTAGTTTTGTATTACTATTTAATTTAATAGTGAGATTGCCTATCTCGACTATGAGAACTGTCTACGGGTGAACTCGAGGAAATTCTATGAAGCTCAGAAAGAGCCGAAGATATTCCATCCAATCAGCCTTTGGAAGAATATTCCGGAATCACTACGTGTAGCTTCCTTATTGAATAAATGCTAATAACCCCCTGTGTGAGGATTTGGACAACTATAATGATGATTTCGTTTTTCCTAATATATATATATATATATATATATATATATATATATATATATCTGACAGTGTTTTTTATAACCATAATTGACACTGTTTGGAATAACATTGCTTCCACTTGTCTTCTGTCTTCTCATTTGCGACTTGGAGAGGTTCTAACATTCGGGTGCTCAAGTTATACGCGGTATACTAAGAATCTAAGTTCTAGATATAACATCAATCGATAGGGCTTAAATATTGAACTTTACAGAGTGGATGAACTTACTATTCCATGTGCTTTCCAAGCATTACTAAAGTAAATCAATGTCAAGGTAGAAATGATAAATTGGTAACCGAAGTTATGAATCTTTATCATTGAAGATAGTTTGAACATGTTACTGATAATTGGTTGTTCGCCTAGTCAGACTAGTAGATAATCTGGAAGGTATTAGATGAGTTACATATTTTCCTAACATTATTATCATCGGTTGTTGACGTGGAAATATACTTATGTTCTAGTCAGGCCAATCACATGTTTTTGATCCGAGTTGTATCAATATCCTGTAGAATAGACACTGGGAGGTTATCTAGTGTAGATATTCGTCTAAGGTAAATGAATGTTCCCTTTGTGTAAAGAAAAAATCGAGAGTTGTTTCATCTACCTCGTCGTTCTGTTCTAGATAACATAAAATAGTGGCTAAATCAAGACATGGAATAGGTTCATTCAGCCGTGTAAGCAGATTCAGTCCCCAAAGTAACCGTAAACTATGGGTGGAGACACTAAGTGGAAAATTTATTTACTTCTTTACATGCTCAAAATCTTCATTTGTATTGTTCCGTAATTCTCGCCACTCAATTTCATTCACTATTTTCGGAATGTAAGTCATTTTCTTTCATTTTTCACTAACATTTCATTGCATTAATTCGTTAACTCATTATTTATCCTGTTTGGATGTGATGATATGAAGTATGGGGACTTAAACAAAGGTAGATCTATGCTGAGTTCCATATAATTAATTAAAAACGACAAATAGGATAAAGATCTATGTTTTTTAACCGTTGCTTCAAATTTGAATTTGTAAACAGAATAAATGGTTCAGATGACAGTTTGAGAGAAACAGGTTATACAGAACAAAATAATTATTACCGAATGTGAAGGAGGAGGACTTTGCAAGATTATCAGTTATTATATATCGGAATTGATTGTGAATAGCTTCAGAGAATTTGATACTATGATCAGCTAAATAGTACTTACAAAAGTATTCACAATAACGTTTTACCAGATATTAAATAGGAAGAATATATTTGTAAAATCTTAGCGAATGAATTTGAAGTAAATCCAACGTTTCGCCTGGCAATCTGGTCCAAGCTTTTTCAAGGAAATGTATTTCCCTACAGATCGCCAGGCGAAACGTTGGATTTACTTCAAATTCATTCGCTGAGATTTTACAAATATATTCTTCCTATTTAATGTCTTACATCAACTCGGCACCCAAATACTGTGAAACTATCAGCTCTAATTTAGACGAAAGTTCTTATATTTTGCCAGATATTTTAATGTTTTAACCTATTTAAAGAGCTCATAAATACTTATTTAAAAGAACCCAATATTATCTGATAGAGAAATAGTTTTGTGTAAATTGTTCAACTTTACAATCCATAGTCAACCATGTTTCACTTGGTTACAAATTTATGAGAAAATCGTTATTCTCTTGAGTTCTGGTTAGACAGAATTCAAAGAAACCAAACCATAAACTGCATTAAACAGTTCAATGGTCTGCATAAGAGGTTGATTTTACCTATGATAAATGGATAAATAAACTGGCTACATCATGGGTGACAAAAATTAATGTTGTTTAAAATCTAGTTAAAATCATTTACCTGTTTGAAAATTTCATCTTGTTCCCTCCTTCTGCGCTCTTCTTTTTGACGTGTACCGCTTTCTTCCGCTTCTCGTATACGACGTTGACGTTCTGCTATTAGTACTAATGCATGTATACGTCGCTCTTCAATTAGACGATCCAATTCTTTACTTAAGAAATCTAGCATATTAGCTAAACTAGCACATTCAAACTGTCCTAAGATATTTTCCATTAGGCGCTCCTTTTAATAAAAGATAAATAATATTTATATATTGTTCGCTAGTAGTTTGTTATATAAAGACGGAAACAAGTTATAAATACAACACCTGTTTTAAATCAATATAAATAAGTTACATTCAGATAGAAGACTGAAAACGTCACATTTAAGAAAATATTGATTGCATAATAAATCTAACACCGCCTGTAGCCCATCCAAGGGCTACTGTCACTCCCAAGCTCGGATAAAGGAGAACAGTCGGGCATGTGGTTAGTCACCCCATCCCCTAGAATACTAACGCGTAGAAAACGCTAACCAGAAGAGGTTATTCAAACCATTTGAGTTCTGCCCTGGGAGTTGAAGGGATAATTATGACGCCTCATGGTGAAAGCCGAGTTACTTCGGTAGTCACGAGGCCGATGCCCCTTATGACAACCAGAACAACAATTTTTATAGGTACAGTGGAACATCCGCACAATGTGTGAGACCAGAAGAGTCTTCCAAATTGCTGCAGAAATGAGGAGATACAACCTTCGGGGTGCTTGGGATCAGTGGAACACATATGGCGCAGGTTGTACAACAACGACTAGCTTCTGGGGAGCTTCTGTTATACTCCGACCATGAGGAAGAAAATTCACCACATACACAAAGAGTTTCACCGATGCTATCCAAACATGCACAAAATGCATTTATAGGATGGGAGTCTCATAGACCCAGGATCATCGAAGCCTCCTTCAAAACAATGAAAGAGGATATGGTAATGATTGTCATCCAATGCTAGGCGTCCACCAACGACTACAATGAAGATGTTAAAGATCAATTTTACTATAGGCTGCAGTCAATCGTCGAGAAGTGCCCAACAAAAAACCCAACCATTCTGATGGGAGATTTAAATGTCAAGGGTGGAATGGACAACACCGAATATGAAGACATCATGGGACGACATGGATTGGGAGAAAGGAACGAAAATGGTGAGAGATTCACGAATTCATGTGCCTTCAATAAACTGGTCATAGGCGGCACCATGTTCCCACACAAACGCATACACAAAACCACATGGTCTTCACCGGATCACACTACACAAAACCAAATCGACCATATCTGCATCAAACAAAGTTCACGAGGACGATAGAGGATGTGAGAATCAGAAAAGTAGCTGATATAGCATCAGATCATCACTTGCTGGTCACCAAGATGAAATTGAAACTTAAAGGTACTGGACAACGGGGTGGACAATATCACAAACGTTTAATACGGCTTTTCTTCGGGATACTGACAAACTCAACAAATTCAAGATAGCCCTCAACAATAGGTTCCAGGCCTTTCACGATCTACTCAATGTAGAGGAAACTACTGCGGGGAACAACTGGAGAGGAATAAAAGAGGCAGTCACTTCAACATGCCATGAGGTTCTGCGCCACAAAAAGCACCATCTCAAGGAATGGATCACTGTTGATACACTGGATAAGATTTAAGAAAGGAGGAACAAGAAAGCAACAATTATTACCAGCCGAACAAGAGCTGAAAAAGCCAAAGCACAAGCTGAATACACAGAAGTAAACAAGCGAGTGAAGAGGAGCATCAGAGCCGACAAACGTAAATATGTGAAAGATCTAGCAATGACGGCCATAAACGTTGAACGAGAAGGAAGTATGAAAAAAGTGTATGGTACAACAAAGAAACTCGCTGGAAATTATCGTAAACCAGAAAGACCAGTGAAAAGCAAGGAGGGCAAAGTAATCACAAACATTGAAGAACAACGAAACAGGTGAGTAGAACACTTCAAAGAACTCTTGAATCGACCAGCTCCATTGAACCCACCCAACGTCAAAGTAGCACCCACAGACCTCCCAGTCAATGTTGGGCCACCAACAATCGAAGAGATCAGCATGGCCATCAGACAAATCAAGAGCGGCAAAGCAGCGGGACCAGACAACATCCCGGCAGAGGCACTGGAAGCAGATGAAGCAGTAACTGCAAAGATACTCCACATTCTCTTCAATAAGAATTGGGATGAAGAACAAGTACCAACAGACTGGAAAGAAGGACTTCTGATCAAGATTCCATAGAAAGGCGATCTTAACAAGTGTGATAACTACAGGGGCTCCACTCTTCTCTTCGTACCAGGAAAAGTCTTCAACAGGGTATTGTTAAACAGAATGAAGGACTACGTAGATCCCTTAACTTCGAGACCAATGGCTGGATTCCGTATGGACCGATCATGTACTGACCAAATCGCAACTCTACAAAACATTGTGGGACAATCAATTGAATGGAATTCATCACTCTATATAAGCTTCTTTGACTATGAGAAAGCATTTGATAGCGTGAACAGGACAACATTATGGAGGCTTCTTCGACACTACGGCGTGCCTGAGAAGATAGTCAATATCATACGGAACTCCTGTGATGGACTAAACTGAAAATTCGTGCATGGAGGACAGTTGTCAGACTTGTTCGAGGTATTGACCGTTGTCACGCAAGATTACTTACTCTCAACCTTTCTCTTTCTCGTGATGATCGACTGAAGAACATATAGAACTCAAATCAATTGTCAACCAACATCACAGTCAGAATTTTCAATACAGTACAGTTCTACTGTATGCGGCGGAGACGCGGAGAACTACAAAAGCCATCATCCAGAAGATACAGATGTTTATTAACAGTTGTCGACGCCGAATACTTTGGATCCGTTGGTCAGCAACAACCCACTATAGGAGAGAGCAAACCAGATTTCAGCGGAGGAAGAAATCAGGAAGAAGCGCTGGAAGTGGATAGGACACATATTGAGGAAAGCAGCCATCTGAGTCACAAGGCGAACCCTCACATGGAATCTTGAAGGCCAAAGGAAAAGAGGAAGACCAGAGAACACAATACGCCGAAAAATGGAGACAGACATGAGAAGAATGAACAAAAATTGGATAGAACTAGAAAGGAAGGCTCAGTACAGAGTGTGTTGGAGAATGGTGGTCGGCGGCTTGTGCTCCACTGGGGGTAACAGGCTTAAGTAAGTAAGTACATAATAAATCTAGTCATTACTCATATTCGGTTGGTTTTTATTAATATTTTGAAATATGAAATTCATATAGTTCACATAGTGAGGTAAAGTTAGCTAATAGTTACTAAAAATGAGGAAGCATTGGACGACCATTTCTTTATAGTAAGGAATTTCTTAGTATTGTATATTCATTACCCTGCTGATGACCAAACCCAGAGAACTTCAGTGATTCAAGCGAGCTGTTGATCACAGAGATGACATTGATGCTGTACATTACTAGATTTAATCAAATCATGATGGATGGATAGTAAAAACTACGACAAACTTAATCTTTTCTTTAACTTTGTTGATCAATAAGGATAACATGGGTTTAATGGTTACAAATTGTGAGTAATGCTGAGACCCGATATCTTGTATTCAAACAATGTAAACCATCATCTTATAACAGATAAAACGGCGGGATTAAACTTTTTGGACGAGCCAACCAGAAGCTTTCGCGGGTTTTCAAGGTCACGGCGTTAAGTTTGGCACCTGATGCTACGTACGATCGGTTTACAGAGGATTTTAGAGAAGACGTGATAATTCAGCGTCTACAAGAGAAGGGATTATTAAGAAGTTCCTATACTTGTGACTGTGGTACTGTACGGTGTGCAGACTACCGTGATGATATTATCTTTCGATGTTCTTCATGTTGGAAGAAGAAATCAGCTCGAACAGGAACTTTTTTCGCTCGATCAAGATTAAGAAAAATTATGATACTTGTTGCAAATCGGATAATAAAAGCACCAGTTACACTTTCTGCCACGTTTGCCGATGTAAGTGAAGTTTCAGCAGTTTAGTGTTACGAGTATTGTTGAGATATATGTGCAACAAAATTGACAAGCTGACACCAATCGTATGGAGGAGTAGGGGAGATCATTGAAATATACGAAACTGTAGTAAGGAAACGGAAATTCAACCGTGGCCGTAGTATTAAAGAAGATTGGGTAAGTACCTCTTCCATAAATATATCTCACAGGTCCTTGGAATCTATGACAGATCATTACAAAAAGGACATTTCCCATGAGTCAGGAACCGACAGGCACCAACAATAATACCGATTATACAGCAATATGTGCAGCCGGGCACTACGGTGTATACAGATAACTGGAGAGCATATAGGTGTCTAAGTAGACTTGGCTACGTGCATGAAGTTGTTATACACAAGCGCCATTTTGTGGACCCTACAACTGGGGTGCATACCAACAACATTGAAGCTATGTGGTCGAGGCTGAAAGAATTTTTGAGACCTTATCATGGCTCCAGAGGCCGACTACTATGGAGCCATATGGATGAGTTCCTGTACCAGATGCACTATGATTTTAGAACTTCTGAACCTATATCTAACCTTGATAAGTTTTTGAGTCATGTAAAAGAACAATATCCCCTTTAATTTTTCAGTTTTGTATATTTATTTTGTATTTTTACTGTATACTAACTGTCTTCTGATTGGCTAATATTTCTCAGGGTCATTTAAGATTCGTTCAAAGGTCGTCCATAAAGTTTAGTCTCGCCGTTTCCCACTGTATTCCACAAACGGGACAAGATTAATTCTGACTTGTTTTACTGTCTGCTTTAATATTCCTTTTTTGATGACCAAGTGGTTTTTTCTAATTTGCTTCACCATAAAATTGTCATTTCGTTTGCACGCAAGACATCACAGTGTCACATTGTAGCAAACATTTTTTTATGTAATAACTATATAAAGTGAATTTTCTGATATGATATATTGTAAGTAAATTAAACAGTTTTCTTGAAATGTGAGTTAAGTGTGAATCAGCGAAAACATATTATGCTTTTTGTAGAGCAACAAATATTAGTCACAGACAGATCCAAAGGAACACTGAGTTCACTATTTTTGTCCCAGTGAATGGTTAACTGACTTGTGTTCGGTGCTGAAAACCCTAAATCTGGTAATGCGTAGTGAAAACACAAAGACTGCTGGTATCAATTCATCTGACCGAGAAAAAAGATCACGTTTTATATAACTGATTCACAGTTAAATTTGTATAGTTTGAACTGAGTAGTATTTAACACCAATTATTCGATAACTTACTGTGTGAACACATTTACCAAATCATACAATTAGGCATCTGTAACTAACAGATTTAATTAATGGACTAAGTCATAATATTGTGATTACATGTCACAGACGATTGGTGAAATATCAACCTTATATGTCATTTGCACTCCAGTCTACCGAGTCCTTGTTCACCAAATCAGGAAAGTACGGAAATAAAACTCAAAGTCATTCAAAGCACAATTAATTGCAAAACGCGTATTTTTTTTAGATAATCTACTGTGCAGTGAAATGACAAGGTTTTTATGAAGGATTAACGCATTCCAATCACATCAATATAACAATAATGAATTGAAATGAAATCATTTACTTGATGTAAAAGATGACTGAAGTCTTCCTGTTTCGTTAAAATTTTTAATTTTTCACGTTTTTTTTGAGCTTGTTCATCTTCTAACAAAGCATGCGTTGACCTTGACTCAGCAATTAATTCACTATATTTTCCTTTACCTTCATACATTTCAGTCTGAATTGCACGCCCACGTATTAATTGCTGCAACATAATTACAGCTACTTCGTGTTTCTCAGATTCTTCCTGAATTCAAAAAATAAACAGTTGAATTAGTCTTAAAATAAAATAATTACAATGTTTTTTATATAGTTGAAGTCATTAGTCAATTGAAGCTAGAGCACCATTGAAAAACCTGGAAGCACTGGACGGTCATAGTCTAGCTTCAATTGACTCATGATTTCAACTATATAAAAAAATTAGTAAAATCTCCACAAAACCCACTTCTGATAATTACAATGTTTATTTAAGATGATTCTCTCAAAAGTACAGTTAATTGAAATTAGGATCACACAATATATCACAAGTCAATAGAATTTAAAAACTTCGAAAACAAGACGTTGAATACTTTGAATGGAGTAACATCAAAAACTGACTGGCAAAACGGATTCAGTGACTCTACTCTATTGTATTTTCCATAACATAAAAAAACAAATGATTCGATATCATGAAAGGGTTACAGTTGTGAGCTAAAACATAACAGGCAACAAGTTCTTGTATGACTTTCAATATTTCTGCTTCAAAGTCAGTCCAACGTGTGAATTAGCGACAAACCAATAACCTTAAATATACTTTTTCCTTAGGTATTTTTAAAACCTTCGTTACCCAGCGTAGAGGAGGATGGGTCGCCTACCAGCATACTTCACCGAACTCTGTCCTGGACAATCCTCTCCAGGTGTTTCAAATTTCTATTATTCCTTTCCATATCTGCTTACAATTCTGGGCGCATTTTTTTCTTTGGCCTTCCTCTTCTCAGTTTCCCTTCAGAATTCCAAGTTAGCGCTTGCTTCGCGATACAGTTTGGTGATTTCCTCGTTGTCTGTTCTATCCACTTCCGGTGTATTTTCCTAATTTCCTCTTCAGCTGGAAGCTGGTTTGTTCTCTCCCATAGTGGGCTGTTGCTGATGGTATCCAGTCAACGGACATTGAGCAACTTACATAGACAATTGTTCATAAGTACTTGTACTTTTGTGATGATGATGGTTGTAGTAGTTCTCCAAGTTTCAGCTCCGTTTAGTAGGACTGTGTTGACGTTCGTATTGAAGATTCTGACTTTGATATTGGTTGACAGTTGTCTTGATTTCCATATGTTTTTCGATTATAGCAGTGCGGCCTTTGCTAAACCAATCCTTGCCTTTACGTCTACATCAGATCCTCCTTGTTCATCGGTGATGCTTCTCAGATACGTGAAAGTTTCTATCTCTTCCAGAGCTTCCCCATTAAGTGTGATTGAGTTGTTCTCCGTGTTGCAGCATTTGAGGATCATACTTTTTTTCTTGTTTATGTTGAGACCTACTGATGCAGAGACTGCAGCTACACTAATTGTCTTCATCTGCATTTGTTCGTGTGTATGAGATAGAAGGGGTAGGTCATGTGCGAAGTCCAAATCTTCCGATTGATTCCGAGCTATCCATTGTATTCCGTGCTTCCCCTCAGATGTGGAGGTCTTCATAATCCAGTCGACCACCAGAAGAAAGATGAAGGGGTAGAGTAAGTAGCCTCATCTGACTATGGTCCTCACCCAGAATGTGTCTGTCAACTGTCCTCCATGCACGACTTTGCAGTGCAGTCCGTCGTATGAATTTCGGATGACGTTGACGATCTTCCGAGTTACACCATAGTGTCGAACAAAGTTCCACAAGGTTCTCCTATCCACGCTGTCAAACACCTCATAGTCAAGGAAGTTGATGTATAGTGACGAGTCCCACTTAATTGACTATTCAACAGGAACTCCTAACATGTTGAAGTTCGCGCTTCTTTGATCTCTTTCCAGTTGTTCCCCATAGTAGTTTTTCTTCTTTGAGGCGTCAAACCTGTTGCCGAGATCCCTTCTTAATTCGTTGAGTTTGTCAGTATGTCGAAGGGAGGCTCTATCATTGTTGAGTGCACATAGGTTCGCAAATCGCTTACAGTCTTCGTTTCTTTCTCCTAGTCCATGTCGTTCCATTATGTCTCTATACTCGATGTTGTTCATTCCGGCTTTGGCATTTAGGTCTCCCATCAGGATGGTCAGGTTCTTTCCTGAGCACTACGCTATGATCGATTGTAGCCTCTCGTAAAACTGATCGTTATCGTCGTCGTTGCTATCATTGGTGGGTGCACAATACTGGATAATATTCACTGTGATTCCATTCTTCTTTGTTTTGAAGGATGCTTGGGTTTTTCTGGATCCATGAGATTCCCGTCCTATAAATGCTTTACTTGCTTCTTTGGACAGCATCAGAGTAACTCATTGAGTGTACGGAGCACTTTTTTCTTCATGACCAGTGTACAACAACACTTCTCTTGAATATAACTTTTTCTGTCAAGCTTGGTTCCGATGGGTTTTTCTGAATCCCTGTACTGCACAGCCGTATCTCTTCATTTCCGTTACCATTTGACTGGTGCTTCCGGTTTCCTAAATTTTCCGGACGTTTAATATACCCATAAAACTTGTTGGTGTGGTTGTTGGAAAAGGTATCAGCCTTGTGACTTCTCAAGAATCTTGGCTTTCATTATGGGGCCTCATAATTCTTACTTCAACTCCTAGGGCAGAGTTTGAATTGTTTACTTTGTTTAATCTGGATGGCGTTTTATAGCAGGATTTTTTTCTACTGGATGGGGTTTCCAACCCCATGCCCTACCCTTCTACTTTACCCGAGCTTGGGACGGGCAGTAACTCGAGAAGAGCTACAGGAGAGGTTTCTCTTATACTGGTTTTGTAGAAACTTACTCTTTTTATAACTTTACAAATGAAACTATAATTGTTAGTTTCAAAAAGGTTTTGCGTCTTCAGTTTCAATCGATTTGATTCAATGACTAAAACAATAAGAAATTCGTTCATAGATGTATAAATTTATTGGTAATGATCAATTTTCGCCACAATGTACACTTAAAAGTTATCACAAACTACACTAACGGGGAATCCCCACTACATAGAATGATTTTTATCTTGCTCAGAAGAGCAGCAGTTTAAAAACTTAAAACGGCACTTTCTCCATTATTACAACATAAGCTTAGTAATAAGTCCTTTCGAAAGAGAATTCATAAAGCTTTCTTCACAAGACAAAGTATTTTGAATCACATACAGAATTTCGGACATAGTATCAAAACTAAAAAATATTGTAGATTAACATGAAAACAAAAACTTTGTAGCTCTCTGAACAATGATATTTGATCACGGATGTTTGATTATTATACTAGCTAACTTCATTAGCACTTACTTCAAAATTTGCTGCAACATTTACTTGGAACTTAAGATTTCCTATGATGAAATAATATTTCACAGTCTTAACATTATGACAACTTATTCAATGTTCAGCAGCCTGATGAACAAATCAATAAGGCTTCTGGTCATAATCTCATACCACATACGATTTAGATTTATTTAGTTATCACTTATGCTTAGTATTTGAATATATTATGTACAGCTACCGTATGCAGTTTGATTACTAAACATTAGAATTTATTTGAAAAGCTTTCTCAACAAGTCACCTACTGGAAACTTTGAAATGTTAAAATAACGTTCCTATTTCCAACTGCAAGAATTAACTATCGAATCTAACTTGAAACCATAAACAACTGTGTCATGTGGAAAACAATATTATACAATTCGACAAATAAGATAATAGAGGTCTATGGAATACATTATTTCAGATAAATCACGATGTATAGCTTTTATTTCTTGAAACAGACAGATCAGTAAAAATCAACCGAATGATTATTTAGTTAAATTAGCAAGAAAAACTATATAAAAAATGTCAAAAACTCCAGCACTAATCAGATGAAACTTTATCAACGATAAAAGTTTGGAAAAATGTCTTTGATTAAAAGTAGAATTCGAAGATCAATCAAAGGAGAACATTGTACATACTTGAACAGTTGGAACTTTATTGATCCAACAACACAAATGATTGGGTAGCGACAAAAAATTAATTCTATAAATAGCGAGAAAACTGTCATGAACAAATACAATAATCGAAAACTGAACAAGCTAAGTGCTGATCAACGAAGCAACGACGATGCCAAGCCCTGGGCTATTTGTAAGGTTAGTGAGCTCTGGCAGAAGCGTCCATCAAGCAGAACAGTTTCTACGTTAGACTAGAGATCACTAAACGTTCGACGGTTTACTGAATATCGTTGAGGTCAAGGACTACTGACGCGAGTTAATCAGTAATTCGCCGAAGACTAGCCCTTGAAGCAGTGACTCCACTCTACACTTCTCTAATCTGCCACTGCTAAAGTAGGACCTTACTCATTCTAGACAGTCACCGAGAAAGGGATTCACCTGGCCATTCTGACTGGATAAGCTAGATTAGGTACTAACCACAGGGCATGACTTCGATGTAAGCTAGGAGGTTATACCATATCCATCCACAGGTCACCTACATATTGATTATTCGATCAAGATTGCATTCGCCTTGTTAGTGTGCATGAAGCATACTCCTACTCTACTTTCCTGTCAAATTGGACCAACAAAAACTTTGACACTGAAGTTAGGAGATTCGCTCATGAATCTACAATCATAATTTACCCGTTCTTTGATATTGAAAAGTGCATCATATGTTTTCAGAATTAGGAATATTACAACCACAATTTGAATTCAAACCAATATCTTTAGCAATTCCGGAAGATAAGTAATACGCAGTTAACTTTGTCAGAAAAAAGTATGATCATTTAGTGTGCTTAGGTTGATACAATTCGTTTCAGTATAATAAAATGCAATTGACAAGATATGTAACAAAGGAGTTGAAGGAATACCAATGTCTATGATTGTAAGACTAAATAAACATAGAGAATATGTACATAAGCGAACAATATTATTTTCTATTAGCCTATCACGTAGCATATCACCAGCTAACTAGAGCAGTGAAGAGAACGTTTAATGCAGCCGACCTCTGTCTATCATACTCGACCCGATCTATGGTGATTCCTCAACTAAAGGATAAGTTACATGGTTATGCCATTTCTATGTGTATCTACGAATTCAGCTGATCCTGTGGAGAAAGCTACATTGGGCGCACTACCAGTCAACTGAGCCAAAGAGTTAGTGAACTACCTACCTTCGTGGTTAGGAAAAGGTACTGTCAAGGCAATATGGAGCTCGGTTCTTTCACACTTGATCGATAGCGATCATATGGTTGACAGAAATAAGTCATTCAAAGTTAGTTATCGTATTCCTACCAGTTTTCCTTATGGGGTTCGATCTCGTCTCTTTCACATAGAAGAAGCTATAGGAATTCGAGCCAACAATCCAAGTCTTTGTGTTCATAAGAAATTCGCAACACCATTATCTCTCCCTTGGTCCTATTAGATAATTTTATTTTCCATACTCTTTCTTCGTTTATTTTTCTTCACCCCCTCCTACCAAATATTATTTGTTTCAAATATGCTTCACGGTCCAATTATCTGAACACCTCTTATTACGTAATCTTATATTTTTTATGAATGTTATTTCAGTGTCTATATTTTTCTAATCATTGACCCATCGCCATTATGTAACATTGATTCAAGCCTTTATTATTCTTATTACAATTAGTACACCTGTCATCCCACTACTAATTTGTACTTTTCACTTATTATTTTTAGTTATGTAATCTATTCCACTGTTATCATTGACTCATAAATTGCCTTGATTGGTTTAATAATTTCGTATATGCATATAAATATTACTGTAGATTAAAGCTAGATGGGGATCTAATCGAAAACAATATTGTTCGCTTATATATAATGTTCTAAATCACAATATGGCAATTATTCAAATAGAGAATATGGTTTGAATACAAGAAATTAGTTCGCACAATAAAGAGGATGAGACAATAATAGGACTGAAGATCCAGGAGAAAATGTGATCAGTTTACCATTTATTACGAACCGTTGCTGCTACCTTGACGTGGTGGTCAGGCTTGGCTATCGTGATGATTCAATCGAGCTATGCTGGCTGGAACAATCGTTCCTCGAGGTCCTACCATGCCAGAAAGGTCGGTTGAAGAGCGGTAAGACTAAAAGCAGCAATCCCAAGGTCCGAAGGCGAAGTCGTACTGCCGACTGTACAGAGGTGTGACGGCAGTAAGGTGTTTCCTTCAGACAACCAGCATGACAGCGATGCTGCCTTCCCACAAGGAGGGGTGGGGTTAGAAAAGGTCGACCTTAAAAATGCACACCTCGTCTTATCCCACGGATTTCCGTCTCCGGCGGTAAGGTCCTTTGAAGAGCGGGGCTAACACGTCAAAAATACCCCACAAAAAGGCCGTGCGTGATCGGCTTTCAAGCAGTTGTCCCTTGGGCACTGCGGTCACGCTCCCAGGTCGTTCAGACCAACACTAATCCGACTTCTTTTTCAGGTCCCTCAAGAAATACCCTTCCACGGTGTGGGCAGCCGGGAAGTGATAAATGCCCTCAAACACGTAACAACATACGAGATCAAGTTGGTCACTTTCAAATCCTTCCTACTCCTAATAACTCTCTTATCTTTACGACTAACCCTTCCCACGACCTTTTATCACCTCGCACCGCTAGGGCAAACGATACGTGTACACAGAACGTTATTCCTGGTCTCCTGAAACCTCGCTCTAAACTACATGTAGGAACTTTTAATGTCCGAACATTGTGCCAAATAGGACAACAGGCCTCCTTAGCTAGGACTCTAGAATCTTACACCATCGATGTGTGCTGCGTCTCCGAAACGCGCATACAAGATCCGAGTAGTGTCATTCATTTGACCTCACCTAATCAAAATAAAGTTTCATCTCGATACACGCTTCGTGTATCTGGAAGCCCTGATGCTGCTTCCCGTGGCCTCGCTGGAGTAGGTATAGCATTACGTCCTAGGGCAGAACTATCTCTTTTAGACTGGATACCAGTAGACAGTCGTCTATACGCTGTCCGACTAAGCGGATCAGTAAGGACCCGAAAAGATAGGGAAACTCGTCGTTGCCTCTTCGTCATCTCTGTCTACTCTCCCACGGACTGTAGCTCAGACGATATAAAAGATGAGTTCTACAGGAAACTTTCTGACCTTCTCCGAAAAGCTAGGCGTTCTGATGTAGTAATAGTGGCTGGTGACTTTAATGCTCAAGTAGGTAAACTAAGTGAAAGGAAAAGACACCTGGCAGGATCTTATGGTGTCGTGGCTAAAAGGACAGATAATGGCGACCGTCTGTTGCAGCTGTGCTCAGATAACCGCCTATTTCTTGCAAATACTAACTTTAAGCATAAGGAAAAACATCTTTTGACATGGCGACTCCCGAATTCGTCCCAACGTTGGACCCAATTAGATCACATCGCTATCAGCCACCGATGGAGGGGCTCGATTGAAGACTGTCGCTCATTCTGGAGCACATGCTTAGATTCAGATCATGCTCTAGTGCGAGCACGTATCTGTCTGCGACTTACTGGACGTAGGAAAGACACTGCAGGGAAGCCTCTAAGGGTTCTACTTAATGATAGGCAAGCTAAGAATATATTTCAGGAACAACTGGAAAAACAGTTAGACAGACATGTAAGTTGTGTCCACCCCGAAGCAGCGTGGAATGACATCCATAAAGCTGTGGAAACAGCTGCGATATCCGCTAGTAAGGTAAGTCATAAGGTCAGGGAGAAACAATGGATCTCGGCAGCATCTACCACACTGATAGATGCTCGAAAACTCATCCCTCCTGGCTCTGAACATAACGAAGAGCGGAGTCAGCTTAAGCGAAGGCTAATAAGAAGCCTACTCAATGATCGTGAACAGTGGTGAGTAGCGAAAGCAAGAGAGATGGAAAAGGCAGTGGCAATAGGTAACAGCAGACAGCTATTCAGACTTATTAAAGAAACCGGCATTAGGAACCCAACTATTAGCGAAACTATCTCAGACAAAGATGGGCATATCATTCATTCTCAATCCACGAGATTGGATCGATGGGCAGAACACTTTAGGGGTCAGTTCAACTGGCCTTCAGCCACACTTCAGTTACCCACGATCCCCAGTCGTCCTGAATGGCAAATTGAGGCAAGTCCTCCAACCCTCTGTGAGGTTGAAAAAGCTATAGGAAATCTGAAGCGAGGGAGAGCAGCAGGCCCTGACAGGTTGACCCCTGAGATTTTTAAGGATGGTGGTCCAGTACTAGCAACAAGATTGACTGAGGTCTTAGGTAGAATCTGGGAACTGGACGTAATTCCATCTGACTGGTCCCAATCACTGATTGTGCCAGTCTATAAGAAAGGACAAAAGTCCTCCTGTGACAATCACAGTAGAATCAGTTTGACTAATATAGTGTCTAAAATATTAGCTTCAATAACACTTGGACGCCTAACCAAAGCTCGTGAAGAGCAGACTAGAGAAAACCAGACTATTTTTCGACCTGGACATGGTTGCATAGATCAGATATTCACTCTACGTCAGGTCCTGGAACATAGACATACATTAAGACGCCCCACAACAATAGTATTTCTTGAACTTAAGGCGGCGTTGATCGTGAGGTTTCTATGGCAGTGTTTGTCAATGAAAGGAGTACCAAAGAAGTATATTAACCTCATAAAGGCTCTCTACTCGAACACAAATGGTCGAGTTGGAGCCTATGGCGAACTGTCATCAGAACTAGTTACCTCAAGTGGTGTTCGTCAGGGCTGTTCACTCTCCTCATTTTCGTTTAATTTTGTCATTGACATGCCTTTAGAGATAACATTTAAATCTCCTGGAGTTGAACTTTTACCGGGAGATTCACTTGTTGACTTAGAATACGCCGATGACATAGTTCTATTTGGTGAAGACGCTGACAAAATGCAGTCTTCTGACCACTATAAGCAACTATGCAGGCATGTTCGGAATGCGATTCTCTCTCTCGAAGTGCAAAATGTTACTTCAGGATTGGGTTGATAGGGAGTGAAGTAGTTGGGCGTGTTGACAGCTTCACTTATCTTGGGAGTCTCATCAGCCCTTGTGGTCTGGTGTATGACGAAATCTCAGCACGGATACAGAAGGCTCGTCTAGCTCTCGCCAACTTGCGTCATTTATGGCGTAGGCGAGATATCCGTCTAGCAACAAAAGGACGGGTTTATTGTGCAACAGTTCGTTCCGTTCTACTTTATGGCAGTGAAACATGGCCGATAAGAGTAGAGGATATTCGTAGGCTACTAGTGTTCTATCATAGGTGTCTTCGACGCATTGCTCGTATTTCCTGGGACCACCGTGTAAGTAATGCAGATGTTAGGAAACGGGTACTAGGTAAGGATGGCAAACCGATTGATGAAGTAGTGAAACTTCACCAGTTGAGATGGCTGGGACATGTGTTACGTATGCCCAACCACCAACTGCCCCGACGTGCAATGCTTTATGGTGTAGTAGCAGGTTGGAAGAAAGCTAGGGGCGGCCAGACCAAAACATGGCATAAATCCATGAAGTCACTGACAAGTGGACTGGGTCATGTTGGTAGGTGTAGACTACCTGGTTGGGATTCGCGAGATGATAGTAACCGATGGTTAGAGACCTTGAATGACATGGCTCAAAATCGTTTGCAATGGCTAAGGTGCATCCACTCTTTGTGTTCTACCAAATTCTAATCTGAATTCTTTATGTCTGTATCCTTTTTCTCTTTCCAAATTTATTTCATTGTTTTATACTCCTTCAATAACATCTTCAAACCCTAATCTTTCCGCTTTCTGTTTATACTCTTACTACTTCTACCATTATGGGATTTGAATCGACAACTTCATCTCTGTGCTAATGTGATATGGCAACTCGAACTGATGTACATACGTACGAAGTTCTTCGTTGTAAATGAACGACTGACTGATTTATTACGAACATCGCGTGTATCTAAACCGAAAAGTATCAACATCCTTACACGGATTGGGTCAAGAGTGAAAGATTCCGCATTACTGATACCGCACTTACTTTTACTCCAATCCATTACTGCCTAACTAAGCAATAAGATAAAATAAAACAAAAAAATCTTTAAATTAAACTTACGCTTTTTATTGTTATATAATCTGGTGTTATTGGACGTGACATAGGTTTTTCAATCTTTTGTAAAAATCGTGGTTTTCTTAGAGCGGTATTTGCTTCACTTACTGGGTTTTTTTGCAAATACTGTGTAAGTAATTGTTTGGAAACGAAAAAATTAGTAAGTTGACCAATATTACGTTTAAATGTGCATTGATAATAAATGTGTAAATTAGTTAAGGACTTACATACCTGCCCCTGTTACCCCTCGTGGAGGAGCATAGGCAGCCCACAATCATTCTCCATCCAACCCTGTCCAGGACAATTCTTTCCAGTTATTTCTAGTTGTTATTCATCCCTTTCATATTTGCTTCTATTTCCCGGTGTAATGTGTTCGTTGGCCTTACTCTTCTCAGTTTCCCTTCAGAATTCCAAGTTAGCGCTTGCTTCGCGATACAGTTTGGTGATTTCCTCATTGTCTGTCCTATCCACTTCCGGTGTGTTTTCCTAATTTCCTCTTCAGCTGGAAGCTGGTTTGTTCTCTCCCATAGTGGGCTGTTGCTGATGGTATCCAGTCAACGGACATTGAGCAACTTACATAGACAATTGTTCATAAGTACTTGTACTTTTGTGATGATGATGGTTGTAGTAGTTCTCCAAGTTTCAGCTCCGTTTAGTAGGACTGTGTTGACGTTCGTATTGAAGATTCTGACTTTGATATTGGTTGACAGTTGTCTTGATTTCCATATGTTTTTCGATTATAGCAATGTAGCATTTCCCTTGCCAATCCAACAAGGAGAACAACCCAATCACACATAATGGGGAAGCTCTGGAAGAGATGGAAACTTTCACGTATCTGAGAAGCATCACCGATGAACAAGGAGGATCTGATGTAGACGTAAAGGCAAGGATTAGCTAAGCAACGGCCGCACTGCTATAATCGAAAAACATATGGAAATCAAGACAACTGTCAACAAATATCAAAGTCAGAATATTCAATTCGAACGTCAAGACAGTCCTAATGAACAGTTAGTCAGTCAGCTTCAATGTAGGACCAGGCATATTTATGCATCGGTTCAAGTTGCCATACCTCGTTAGCACAACAAGATCAACACCAAATTCTAAGAAGTAGTTAATTTAGTGGTAGTAGTATATAAAAGATAGGTTGTATATAAGAATGTAGTATAGGAAGCAAGAAAGTTATGGAGCAATTTTAATCTTAGGGTTTAAGGGAAGATAAAGAGTGTATAAACCTACGCCATTGTGGTTGATTCTGAGACATGTCACACAGAGTCTCCAAACATTGGTTACGTTAGTCATGCGGACCCCAACCAGGTAGTCTGAATCTGCCAACATGGCTCAGATCAGAAGCTAGTGACTTCAAGCACTGATTCCACGTTTTGGTTTGGCCGCCCCTAACTCTTTTCTAACCATCCCCAACACTAGTCAGCATTGCGCGTCGTGGTAATCGGTGTCCAGGCATACGTAACACGTGACTCAACAATCTCAGTCGATGAAGATTCACAACCTCATCAACTGATTTACCATCATTCCCTAATACCATGTGTCTAACCTCACTGTTACTTACCCGGTGATCCCAGTAGATGCGAGCAATATTCATAAGGCATCAGTGGTCAAGTACTAGTAGCTTCCGAGTATCTTTAACTCTGAATGGCCACGTTTCACAGCCGTAAAATTGAACAGAGCAAACTGCTGCGCAGTATACTCGTCCCTTAATTGATAAAAGGATATCTCGTCTTCGCCATAGGTGACGTAAGTTGGCAAAATCTAATCGAGCTTTTTGAATCCGTGCAGAGATTTCGTCAGACATCAACCCATTAGGTCTGATCAGACTTCCAAGATAAGTGAAGTTGTCGACACGTTCGACTACTTCACTCCCTGTCCTTAGTTCAGGTGTTGATGTGGGCCAGTCCTGAAGTAACAATTTACATTTAGATGGGGAGAAACGCAGCGCAAACATCCTGGCATTATTACTCAGTCCTACTAAACGGAACTGAAACTTGAAGAACTACTACAACCATCAACATCACAAAAGTACAAGTACTTATGAACAATTGTCTACGCAAGTTGCTCAATGTCCGTTGACTGGATACCACCAGCAACAGCCTGTAGTGCCGTGATTCGTTAATCGTTTACTTCGATAACCGTTATAATTCTAATCTTAACGGTGCGTAAAATCAGAAGACAAAGGATAGCAGCTACTACAGTTTATTGTCGAATAACTCAGGTTCGAAAGCTAACAACACCTGAGCGAATATGAACGAGCGAGTGAGCGGCAAGCGAGAGAGCGAGTGAACAGGCGAACAAGCGAAGGAAACGAACGAGGAGCAAGCGAGCGAATAGCAAGCAATTACATAGGCAATTTATAGTCAAATTTAATAAGGGCACAGCAAAGCAAAACAAAGGCTGATAATAATATTTGTGTGCGTACATATATGGGGAGGAGTATGAGTCATCGAATGATATTTAAGCAGTCAACATTTCGGCTAGAGTGTCATGTGCTCTAGTGGTATAGCAGTGCAAAGAATATGCAAATTGTTACTATCCTAATGACGATGTCTGTTAAGTAAGTTATAAAAAGGGCTTAACCAAAATTGGCTATAATCGAAATTGATTGTAGGATGGTTGCTATAAGCCCACTATGGGCGAAAACAAACCAGCTTCCAGCTGAAGAGGAAATTAGGAAAACACACCGGAAGTGGATAGGACATACATTGAGGAAATCACCAAACTGTATCGCGAAGCAAGCGCTAACTTGGAATTCTGAAGGGAAACTGAGAAGAGTAAGGCCAACGAATACATTACACCGGGAAATAGAAGCAAATATGAAAGGGATGAATAACAACTAGAAATAACTGGAAAGAATTGTCCTGGACAGGGTTGGATGGAGAATGATTGTGGGCTGCCTATGCTCCTCAACGTGGGGTAACTGGAGTAAGTAGACGTTTAATACCAAATACAGTTGATGCGTTATCGCACTGTGCTAATAAGCTTCACTGTTGGTATGTTAAAACCTCTCATGAGCTTTAGCAAGTGGTTTTAGGAGGTGATATATCCTAATCACTCAGATATTGAATCGCTCTACTAAGGTGAATATCTAAGCATCATTTTTCTGTTATTATCTAACTTAATACTATATAACTTTTAATTCAGAAGCTTGTTGTCTATAGTTTCACTGGCTTGATAAACACTAGGAATATCATTCAGGCCAACAAATTTTGCATTATTTATACGGTTAAGTTATCCTATGTTTTTCAAAATGAAAAACGTACACGCGTATTTCCGAGGGAAAAAATATTGTAACTGTCAGAATATTTTCTTTGATGACTAAAGGTGAGTCCAGATGTGCACTGTATTCCAATCAAAACTTTTTAAATAGCTAACATTATATACCAGTCAGTGAAAGTGTTATCACTATGAAATAAATTCTGGTCACTGTTGTTTGCAAAGTGAGAAAACTGATGTGAAACAAATATTTTGTGAAAGTTTACGAAAACAATGATGAGTGGTTTGAGCAGTGTCTGGTATCAAGGTGAAATGCGTTAGATTTCAAGAATATATTCTCCACTTACATCATAGTTGTTCAATCAAAATTCTATATCATTTCTATATTTACGTTGGATGAATCAATTGAGTTAGTACTATTTAGACTAAGTAGAGAGAAGTATGCCAAACTAATTTTTAAATGTGATTGTTATTCGTCAAAATTTATTATATCCAACCCAATATTTTTCCTTTATTGATATTATAAATATGACGCATTGTGTTTCGTATGAATGTGATTGTTGTCATTGACTGATGTATGCGCTCTAACACCAGTGAAAACCGCAGACTAATCGACAAATGTTATTTCCTAGTTTGAGAAATCTCAACGTCAAATGAGGCAGAGTCGGAAAGCTTTAGATTCTGAAAAAATTGTTATCTTATTGATACATAGTATCCGATATCCAATGGTTAACATTTACAATAGCAGTTGATTTAAAAAGTAACATATTCATCACTTAACATTATCAAGGTAGAGCTGCCACGCTTCTGACTTAATTGATTTCACAAGTCGCAAGTTTTACTCGAACCTCTTAGCAATATCATTTTCTCCGTGAAATTCTAAGGCCATCAATTTAATCACCCGTGATCGTGTGTGTTGATGATAAATTGTAGACTAAGATAAAGTGGACAACCAGTCCTCCCTGGTTCACAACAATTCACAATGGTTTATGCCAGTCAATGACAAAAACAATCAGTTAATTGAACAGTCGTTTAAATACACCGTTTTTTCTTTGAAAAGATAATATGAATTTAAAATAATATATCCCAGGTAAAAATGAATACCATCTATGAACCATGAAAGAATTCTTTCCTATAATTAAACAATTTTATACAAGTAAAAAGACATACATCGTGTAATTCAGCTAATTCTTTTTGATGGCGATATTTACGCTTTAAAAACCCATCTTTTGTGTGTACTATTGGTTGTTGTAATCCAATTCTTGGTCGGAATACAAATCGAGGCAAACTGGCTTCTAAAGTAAGTAGACCTGAAAAAAGTGACAAAAACACTGAATACGTATGAAGACTTTTCAAATTAAATTATAGTTTGGCATTATTTTGTGTGATTTAGTTGTTAATAAACAACGTAAAAGTCATTACAAGAGTGTATTAATCGAGATTATCATTCTTCAAATCGACACAACGAAGAATTGTTGTTTTCATAGACATAGTTCCCTCTATCATCCTGAAGCAAAAGTTCAGAGAACTAGATACAAGTGACTACGTAATGAATACACGCTGATAGTAAGCAAGAATAAAATGAGTGAAGCTCAGTTAGTTAAAATAAGATTTATGATCTCGAAGACATATATTTATCTAATTAATTGAAGAAAGAATTCAGCAAGGTTTTACAGTGTAATGAAGGAATGTTTGTCATCAGGGCAAGGGAAGATAAACAGACACCTCCTTTTGAACACATAAATCAGATGTCTGACGACTAAATGCTGTGGCCTCAGCAAACTTCAGAAGACTGAAGTTTGGCTTTTTATTAATCATCCTGTAATATTTCAAGGTATTGATCTAATTTCCCCTGTTCAAAAGATGTTTCATGATTACAACATTTAAAATAGTCTATTCTCATATCCGGAGGTGTTTCGGAACACTTTAAAAAAAAATCTAAGATAAGTCCTCCTTTCTGTTTGGCCTATGTAGTTGCTTTGGCAGGTATACGTGTATTGGTGATAACATAAAAAAAGTACTTGTCGACTTTTGATTGGTCTTTTGAATATAGTGTTCCATACCGAGCTTTCCTTTGTCCTGATGACAAACATTCCTTCATTACACTATAAAACCTTGCTGAATTCTTTCTTCAATTAATTACATAAATATATCTTTTTATTTCGACTGTCCTCTAGATTATAAACCTTATTTTAACTAACTGAGCTTCACTCATTTTATTTTCACTTATTATGAGCGTTTATTCTGGACATTTGCTGCTATCAAATTTGTAGAATATTCTTATACGTAAGATATATATTTAAATTTTATTTAGTCTTTGAAATTTATTTACACCTTCGATATACTGTACTGATATGGGATCATATCAACTAAACTCTTTTGTATGGGTAATTTAAACACATTTTGTAATCATGATTTTTAGATTTTGCAAATCACAAGCAGCTGATGAGAACTAAACGAAATAAAAGGAATTCATGTTATTCTGCTCAAATCTTTGTTTAGGACTAATGTCTGTATGGCCTTATGAAATTTGAGTTGGTTCATGCCATAAGAAAAATCTTTTTTGTGTCAGTAGCGCTGATTAACTGTCATAATATCAGCTCTATAGGAATATTACTATGGTTAACCAAGATAAAATTGATAGATAAAAGTCGCAGAGCAGATATGCGGATTTACTGGTGTTGGATTCTCTGATTTGAAAGGCTTCATACCAAATCTTTTTTTATTCTGGACAAAATCTACTACGGACAGAAATTCTCTTCCTTCATTTATATCAGAAATTGCCGCCAACAATGTTGTCCAGAAAGCTTAATTAATAAATTACTAAAATTACGGGACACAATGACACTAAATTGAGCCACTTGAGAAATAAAGCTTAGCATACAACCTCACAAAGAAAACCATACATAATCAAAGTTATAATCTGGCTAAAACGTAATATGTAAAGTCTTGGTTAAGAGACTGATTGAACTATAATTTCTTGAACAAAAAACAAACTAACAGACTTTGTTCATCTTTTTTACCATTTATAATTTCAATAGTTTTTGCTTATGTAACTGTTTAAAACAATGTGAGTAGGGTAAACATTTGTAAAAAATAAACTGAATCTGTTTTGTCGCTGCTATTTTATACGGTCATCCAAACCTGATAGTGGTACATAAGCTTCCTATAAAAAAATCCAACCAACTACTTGAATCAGAAGGCCGAAGGTGTGAAGAAAGATTTATTGACTGAAACCGAATTGAGAACATACACGTACATCATTTCTATTTATAAGATGAAGCCATATTCTCAACAGATGTTGTGTCCCACCTCAGGAAACGAAGTCAAATCTCTGTCAATAACGTGACCTTAAATCATAACTTATATCTTATTGGTCCAGAGTATCAGTTTTATAAAATTCGCATCAGCAAAATACAACACAAATAAGTATCTAATCACAAGTTCATACAGCATAAAATAATTGAGTAAATACAAATACATTCGGCGTGAAAATTAACCACGTTCTCATGCATCTTAGTTTATAATTTAATTTGTAATGGTTTGGATTATCCCGTGTTCATACTTTTGAAATTTGATCAGTCCTGGTTGGTGTGTGTATATGCTTCGATATAATCAGTATATAAGTTCGTATAGATGGAATATAGCTGGGAATGAAATCCAGAATGTGAATATCGTCCTATTTGGGACTCGTTAGCTGGATGTATCTGCTAGCCACATTCCACCTATTTAATAGAATCTTACTTAATGGTTGAAAAAGTACGATATCTTCAATTGTACATCTACTTTTTAAATTTAATTACTCCCTCCCCAAATATCTATCTTTAAAAAGAATTTTACATTTCTAAATCCACAATGAAGTCTTTTACAATTCTTTTAGTTATATTTAATTCCTTTTACTATCACGTAATCCTACCATTATTTTGAATGCCACGCTATCAGTCTTATTAGATTCATTCTTTATATGGCATGCAAACTTGGGTAGATGCATATTAATGTCACGTCTTAGAAGCACGACAATATAAAGAAACTACAAATGACGCACATATATAACCAATATTATTGACCTCAAGACTCAAACACTTTGATCTACTTTCCATGTATAATAACTACACGATAATTATCACAAGATTGTGATTCATGAATCAAATAACAACTTTCTTGCTCACGAGTTTAAGTTATCCCTCAAGTATCATGAGTTTTTATTTGGACAGATAAATATTGGTACAAAGGGGCACCGAATACATATACACCACACGAGTCACTTGATTTGTGTGTGGGTCGTGATACTTTTCGGGTGAACAGACCGAAGCAAGTGGTTCCCTTAGGCCGCCACAACCGGAGCCTTAGACCTAAAGGACTGATCCACAAGGCAGTAGAGCAACGTAAGGAGATGAAATCTCATGGTAGCCGGTGACCAATAATTGGTTCATACGTAATTTTTCCCCTCAAGATCCTGGAGTCCACCCCTAGGTGGATCCTCCATACCCACCAACCCGGTTAAAGGACCGGACATTTGTTTTTCGTCCTCTCAATTCCTTAAACAACAGCCCTAGCGCGAGAAGGCAGTGAGTAAGACTTTCCTGACAGTGGCTGTATACGCGTGGCTTTGTGAGAGCGTTTCGAGAGGGAGAGTGGACTATCCCCACCCTCGGTCATACCAGGATATTTGGGGGCATGTGTATACACTACTGAAAAAAACATGATTTACAGTTTAAGCTAGTGTATTTTCTAAATAAATAAATGCACTATTGAATTACCTTCAAAACGCGATGAATATATATTTTTTACAACATAACGTTCAGAACTACGATCTGGAAATACACCAAGTCGCGTTAGTGGAGCAAACACTTGAGACGATGGTTTAGCATAATCGATTATTATATCACGTTTAAATTTAGATTCTTTAGCAGCTAACCGAAGTTTCAATAATTTGCGTATTTCTGCAGTAGATACAAAGAAGGGAAGACACAAAGGCGAATGAGAAATTTCATTAATACATAAACCATAACAGTGATCGTCACAAAACAAATAGTGATATACTACAATTTATTACAAATTGACGTCAGTTGACAACTGTAGAGGATTAATTCTTCTATATCTGACTCCAATAAATAAATAATATCCCGCTAACTGATTATTTAATGCAGGCTAAATCTCCTAGTAGAATTATGGGTTTACTCGACATTATTCAAAAGCCTGAACACCAGTTATAGAGATAGTCTATTGTTGAAGCTCGGTAAAAATCCACAAGCGTACAGATAGCAAGCACACAGTGAAAACGAGTGTGCGTGTCAATGGGTGTTAAAAATCCATATATATTTATGAGTGCTAATAGGTTGTGGATAAATTATTGATTGTCTTTGCTTACAACCAATTAGAGAACAGATCAACGATTGGTGTGCAGACACATGCGCTTAATCAAACTCACACATAAATTTACAAAGTGGATTAAATGTCTAAATTACAGAGAACACACAAATAATACAATAGTTGAATGGGCTTGCTACACAACCATCAAGAAAGAAGAAGCATTGAACAGTTGCCTGATCATGGTTTAGAGCCTCTTATTGGTGATCAACTCTATAATCCTGCACAAAATATTATCATAAATCGAAAAATAACTTCAAAAACATTAGAGTTGTCCACCTAGTAATCAACTTTCGAACAGATTTTCCATAGCTGTGACGTAATTAATTTGGAAGTGTGGTAATAGCTAAAGTATGATATTGGATAGCGGTCACGATAGATAGAGAACCGTTGAATTTATGAGTCAATCTAAGCTAGGACATCGTTGGAAACCTGGAAGCATTGGACGACAGTTTCGTCCCAGCGCGAAACTCCTCAACGGTGCGGACTGATAACCTCGCATGCTGATTCAAACACCGCGTGTACTGCTGAGGAGTCTTGTACTAGGACGAAATGGCCGCTTAGTATTACCAGGTTCCCAATAATGGTCTAGCGTAGGTCGACTCGTGAATCCAACTGTTAAAATACTACAATCTTCATAAATAGAAAACTGACTGAAAATAAAAAAATGCAAAACATTTTTTCCTAGTCATTGGTTGATGCCTAATAGTCGTTGGTTCGACTTCATGAAGTGTCGTTGGTGCGAACCGTTGATGATTGTTGAACCAGATAGAAACATCAGTAGATTTTTCCTTTGTTTTCAGTACTTTTCTAGTTGAAGCCGACACGTAATGAAAGCTAATATCATATTAGTAAAGTATTTAAAAACTTCTAATTAAGAAGCGATTTTAAATTCAATCACTCTGGTGAAGAAATCAAACCATACGTATATCTGGTTTCTCTCTAGACTCGAAAAAGTGTTAGGGTTACGAGTTTATTTCTTCATTAATTTGGCGATCGTAACTGGCAGTGAAACGTAGATCTAGGCGTCGTGCAAGCTGGCACTCATCAGGAAGACAAATTTAGCCGTCATATGGGAATTCATGCTTCATGTAGTACTTGAACAGGCATTAATGACTGTCAAGATCAGATACATTAACATTGAGGTTGAAGCTCGAGTGACCTACAGGACTTAAATATTCACACTGAACATTTGTTGAGTGATAACTAATCCCATATTTTTGATATCACAAACTGAACTAAGTTATACATCCATTGAAAAATAGTAGACATAGGAAATTCGTTTCTTCCCATCATGGGACCTCTCAACAGCCCACATCCACGACCTCATCGAGGATCGAATCCAGGACCATCGGCCTCACGGAAGGCCTTTATCCTTTAGATTAATGAGCTGGATCCAATGGTGAACATGTTTAACCTCAGTCAGTCGGCAACATTGTGCAACCATACATTATCTTCTGTTGGTATCTGTTATATCATAATGAAGATTAAATTACGGGTAACTTCTGAGAAGTATTAATGGACTAATATTATGTATATTTTTATTGTGTAACTATTAAGAAACTAGATTATGCATACGTATATTTTTCTTATCACAAGCTTTGTTTTGACCTATAAACTATTATTATAAGACTTACTATTCTTAAATTATACGCAATTTATTGATTCCAGTCTTCCACGATTACAGCCACATTTTGGCTTGATCTTGTACAAATGTTATTTTCTATTTTATGGTATGATGTGGTCTGGTTGGTTTGTATATAAACCAAGTATTTTTGAAATATATGATTCGTATAGTGGGAGCTGATACGGGTGTTCTGAACTCAACACTCAGAGCTAAGTAGGGAAAAAGGACCAAAAAGGGCAATGGGGTGCTCGTACCTGTCAATACGTCGTTGGTTTGGCATAGTACTAAGATTGTATAATTCGCATTTCGATTGGCAAATAAATCACGTGATAATTAGCCGGACTTGAAAACACAACAGCAACTGCTTACTGATTTTCAATGGATGTCTTTTATTGCTCCATGATATCAATAATATTCAGTAATCTCCACAATCATCTTGTACTGATAATATCATGTTTGTCTAGTCCTCTAGTGTTGATCGAACTCTATAGGTCAAGTTTCAGTCTAGTCACTAGTTGATATCGCGTGTACTATATTTTGATATCGGATGGTTGGGGACAATCGACAAGAAATCCTGGATCTATATTTTATGGTATGCCGTTCAATGTTGAGCCACTTAGACTAGTGGCCATATTACCACTTAATCGGTTGAATTGCAGCAGCAATAAAGGCTAGACAAAAATGGCCTTGGTAACTACTAAATGGTCGATAAATTTATATATTTATAAAGTCTCAATGAGTAGAAAGCTAAATTTGTAACGTTTCGCAACCTAGTTTATTTTTCTTATTCAGAGAAAAAACAAACGAACTAAATTCACTTAAGCAGAGATGGATAGTGGCTAGCAGTGGAATCCAGGACGCGCGTTTCGTCCTATTTGGGACTCGTCAGCTGGATGTACCTGCATCTCAGAGTTGATGTTCACTCTGGGACTCGAACCCAGTACCCTCGCTTCAAACGCCATCGCGTTATCCACTCGGCCACTGAGTCCTGATAGCCACTTGCTTGTGCGATGGGGTGAAGTTTGAATTCACTTAGTATTGTTTGTTTGGATCTTCCCATCGATGTGTTTAGGACTGCAACTGGTCAGTCTCTAATTGGCATATGTGCATACTGTGCGTATTGCCTCGATATACCTTAATTCACGATAGCTGACGAGTCCCAAATAGGACGAAACGCGCGTCCTGGATTCCACTGCTAGCCACTATCCATCTCTGCTTACCATGCTTGTGAATTAAGGTATATCGAGGCAATACGCACAGTATGCACATATGCCAATTAGAGACTGACCAGTTGCAGTCCTAAACACATCGATGGGAAGATCCAAACAAACAATACTAAGTGAATTTAAATTCACTTAAGTTAAAATAATACAAATGGAATAAAGTAAGGTATTTTTAGTATGATCAAAATCAGAATAAGTCTGATAATGTTAATATTATGTCGTTTTAGTTAAGGTATTTCTGTGTGAGACCGTTCGATATCAAAGCGACTATGGTTTTTTTTCTTTAACCCTAATAATACATTTCCAAGGTATGACTATAGATATTGGAAAACAGTGATTGTTTGAATTGTTATCGAAATAAGTGCTCAATATGTGCAGGTGCACACTTTTCCTCACTCATACACATAAAGATTACAGAATTCTGAGGTTGTAACCACGTTCAAACTTGAGTCCAAACCAATGACAACTTAATTAATTGAGTTCATTGCCATTGAAAAGATAATCATCCCATAAATTGTTGATTTTTATATCCACTTTACACCAATCTTAACCGATTGTATCATTTTTAAAGGAACTAATATTATTGGGCGACATATTTGAGTGGAAAAGGGGGGAAAGTTTTGACGATTTGTTCATTAATGAGTGGGGAGATGTGAGTAAAAAATTCAAACCACACTCGTTTTAATGCTATTCTAAACTATCTGTCTAAAAAAAATCACAACGCATACGGAATGCATGTGACTGCCAGTTGCGTAAACAAGCACATGACCTGCCACTGAAAAACAATTCTCTGTATTTCTTAGTTTTTTTTTAATTTGAACTTGTAAGCCGGAGTTATATGGATTAGTATTATTTATTGTGGTTACCGTTACATCTGTTTTTGCGGCCAAAGCTTACAGTAAATACTGTTATTCAACAGACAGAACAATGAAGAATTATGTCAACTCAAGTCTTTTTTGTGCTCTATCCTATACTGACAATAGAAGATCCACCAACTGCGTTCATCATATGATCAAATGGGAGCCTAAGATTCCCACTCTATTAAACCTCTAGTGAGAATGCCAGTAATACATCTGAGTAGTCATAAGTACATTTTATTATTTAGACCTGTAACCCACGTGTTTATTAGTAGGAAAATACAAGAACATAACGAACCACCACTAGTAAGCTTCAATAAGTACACAACGAGGGAACTTTTGATGAGAAGCTGAGATTTATAGTTAATTATCATTGTTAGCTTTATTCAATATTATATTTTCGGCACAATAAAGAATTCTCAGCACGAAGTATTTCAATAAGTTTCCGTTTCTTACATCCTGATCCATCCTGACGACAAATATTGAGTGATCACCATTTAGAAGTAAGCAGTTCAATAAATAATAATAATAATAAATTATGCACATTCTTTCCGCTGTACATTGCCAGAAACCACGATATCAATAGTTGGGCCTTTTGTAACTCGTACAACAAAAAGTTGTACATTTTTTAGAAACACGTGAATAGGTTATGCGATTAGTGGCCATAATGATGTATCAGACTAAACAAAGTTAGATAAGTTGTTGAAATATCTAGATAGCAGGAATAGGTAGCCCAAATGTTCAAGCAGGCCGCCATGCTTTAATTGAATATAATTATTAAATGGTAAACGATGTATTAACAACTCATAAGTTGAAATATGGTTTATGATTAAGTCAGTGTAAAAATATAATAAAACAACCAAAAACTGTCTGGTAAATAATCGTTTGATAATTAAAATGATTCATAGACATATATTTTCCATATAACTATATATATGAATGTACAGCTAAAGTAAATGATTTCGTCGAAAAGAAAATTTTCTTCGCTGAATTCTCTTTTTCTTAATCGTTTGATGTTTGAGTCTGAAAGTGTCTTCGCTAGAAAGTGCTTCTTTCCAGCGAGGTGTATATGAAAAACAGAACAAACTCAAAACAATTGAAAATATGTAACTATATACAACATGATGGATTCTGGTAAGTAAAAATTTTAACGTTTAACCTAAGGAAATTCAGAGTTTCAGCAACAAACACTTGTTCACAGTGATTGGTTTCCATGAGTGACTTTCTAAATTAAGTACTACGTGAATATTTAGCCTTAAAATACATCCAGTCACACAGATTGTGCACCATAGATATTGCCATTGAGTCACTAGTATATAGATGATTATTCCCAAATAGGACGAAGTGTACATCCTGAATTCCACTGCTGGCCACTAACCATCTCTGACTTTAAAAAGTTTGAAGTAAAGTTAACAAGCTAACAGTAGAAATTGAGAAACTGATCAATTTGAAAAGATTCAATCGCGAAAGATTTAGGACCTCATGAGGACAGTTTCACTGTAATGAATAGTGAACATACAGTGGAAGGTTACCTCGAACATCATTTAGAACTGCCTAAGCCAGGGGTGAACAAGGATCATGATAAACCAAATGCGTATCGGAATTAATATATAAAATTCTTGGAGTAAATGACAAAAGATGATAACATTAATCTTGTCAACTTTATTCATTTCTGCACAAGGAAAGCTAAGAAAGCCATAGAGCAGTGTATGATCATGGATGGATCTGGAGGTTGTATTTCAGCTAAGCAAAAACGGTGGAAATATTTGAACGCAATTATATGGTTGTTACATAGGCTCAGGACTTGTATATTTCTAAAAGAACATTACACAATTCGATCACGAAACCGAAATGTAGTAATTTGCATCTAGTTTTAGTGATATGAGGGGACAAAGCTTTATTATCAATGATATGTAACCATCGTACTCTTAATAGGATTGGTTATAAAATGTCACAGGTATCTAACAAATTTCTAAAGGTATTGTTTTCTACACTAGGACTGGAGGTAAGAACATGGTTTCGAATCCTGTATGTCGACGGTTTTCTACTTGATATTAGATCTAGACACCAATAACTTCAAAATATATAGAAATGTACACAAAACCGCCTAATTTAATAAGATACGCATTCTTTTTTCACAAGTAGAAATTTAGTCTCAAATAAATCATTATCATATTACCTCCAATATAACGATATTTTAAAACTCTGTATTTTGTTTCATTTTGAGCACAACATTCACTCCATTTTTGATCTAATCGCCTAGATATAACTTCTTGTTTACGTTGTTCACGTCTACGTAAAAGTTGAACAATTACAGTTAGTCGAACTTCTAGCATTCTGTACAGGAGAAAAATTAACGAAAGTATGAAAACTCAACCAACCGATATATAAATGAGATATCACCAAAGAAAAATTAAGGATAGCTAAGCAAAGAAAATGCCTTTAAAGGGGTCATTTTCCTTAACTGCGCTAAGGTTAAGTAATCATACACCACACCTACAATTCCAAAATTTTTTATATATTAAGTGGGTTTATGACAGCAGAGTTAATGAACGACAGATTATTCGATCATCTGAGAAGAACATCTTATTCAACTAAGGCTCCGAATCCTTTTACCCAGCAATTAAATCATTCGGGAATCACGGTATATTGTCTGCACTTAATGGGGAAGCTCTGGAAGAGATAGAAACTTTCACGTATCTGAGAAGCATCACCGATGAACAAGGAGGATCCGATGTAGACGTAAAGGCAAGGATTGGTTTAGCAAAGGCCGCACTGCTATAATCGAAAAACATATGGAAATCAAGACAACTGTCAACCAATATCAAAGTCAGAATCTTCAATACGAACGTCAACACAGTCCTACTAAACGGAGCTGAAACTTGTCTACGTAAGTTGCTCAATGTCCGTTGACTGGATACCATCAGCAACAGCCCACTATGGGAGAGAACAAACCAGCTTCCAGCTGAAGAGGAAATTAGGAAAACACACCGGAAGTGGAATTCTGAAGGGAAACTGAGAAGAGGAAGGTCAACGAACACATTACACCGGGAAATAGAAGCAAATAAGAAAAGGATGAATAACAAGTAGAAATAACTGGAAAGGATTGTCAAAAGTTGGTTTCAAGTGGAGAATCGTTGGGAAATACAAAATACAGAAGAATTTTCTTTAATAGTGTAGTGGCAAATAACTCCAAAATATATAGTTCTGTAAGACTTCGACAATGATGCGGTCCTCATTAGTTCGACTGGACACATTTAGGTGAATGCGTTTGGTCACGCTTCCACACCAGATCACGAGTGGGTATATTGTGCCGCGCATTGCTTGCGAAAATTAGCCAGCTTAGCTCAAGTGCTTCCCGATATATCGATAGCACATCTAAATATACCTTCGAACCACTTCACTTCTGTCTTTTGATTTGACTGGGTTGGCATACTTCGATTATAAAGGCGTTACGTGTAAAGGGGATGTCAAACTCTGAATATCTGTGGCATCTTTACTAGTTTGGGAGCGTCCAATAATGAAATATCTACAGCCTTAACGGTAACCTGAGCCAAGATTTTTATGTCTCGTACAGAGTACGGAATATGTGATCAGAGGTTTAGCTTCAATCGATTTGAAGAAAGTAAAAACTAATCAAACTCCAGCACCAAGTTGGATATGCTGAGCTGTAACTCACACCTATTTTTCAGGACTTGATGACTACATGGCAAGAGTATAAATACACTGTTACAAATTTCTAATTTCATCGATTCCTTAATTTTACTTACTAGGGACGAGAATTGCTTTTTAAAGTGAATTCTTAGTCCATAAATTACATGACTGAAAACGCTTAGTAATAATAAATTGACTGACTTACGCCTCAACCTCTCTTTCTCTGAAGTACCATTCACGATTTTCTAAAACTTCCAAAATTTTACGTCGTTTGGCAATTTGTACCACATTATTTGTAATATCTTTATACGGCTGTAGAGTTGCTTCAACTTCTTCTCTTTTTCTTGCACGCTCAATTCTTTCAACATCAAATAATCCGACTGGAAGTCCATATCCATAACTCAACGAGGTTAATTTCAATGTTTGAAGGTTTTCTCCTATATTGACGACATACGATGGAGAATATGGGTCAGTTTGCGCCTCCGAATCACGATATATTGTCTGTACACAACGCGATACATAGACAGGTGGTTTCGGCCTTAGATCTATGTTGGTAATATTTTGACTCTCTACTAAAGAGTCCAACGTAATATCCAGACTTTTCGGATCTCCTGAAGGCTAGTATATGAGGAAAATTGCATTGTGATAAATATTACTAAAATCGCATCAAAATAAATAAATAAACTTTAACCATCTAACCTGTCTCCTTGGAAAATGTGCTTTCAATGTTTGGATGTCATAAGAGCACTGTTTTGGGTGTCAGTATACAGCGAGGCTACATTTAAATCTTTCTAAAATGTGACTTGTACCGCTAAACACTTAAAGCATTGCAATATAATACCAAAGCACTTAAATCGATGACAAGATGGTGAATCCCATAGAGGGAATTCAGACACAAGTAAAACTAGAAAGTTTAAGGTCGACTAATGTTATTTGACCAATTATTACACTCGATGTAATACTGACTAGGATCCATTACTGCTTGAATGGCTTAGCCGGGGTGCTTAAGTGAAAAAATTTTCCTGTTTGCCTGAGAACTATTTACATGTTGCATACATGCATACAACACTTTATTAGTAAACTTGTACACTGAAGCAATGAGACGTTAAACATTTAATACACTTACGTAGAACTGTGGCTTTTGGACTGGCAATCTCGATAATGATATAAATCGTTGGTCAAATAATTCAAGCACTGTAGATTCATATTTGCTAAAATACTTTTATCAGTTGTTCAAATCAAGGATAAGAATTTCAGGTGAGTGGTCAGTGAAATAGGTATAAGTATTTTTAGTAGTTGTCTACGCAGGATACTCAATATCTGTTGGCTGGATACCATCAGCAACAGCCCACTATGGGAGAGAACAAACCAGCTTCCAGCTGAAGAGGAAATTAGGAAAACACACCGGAAGTGGATAGGACACACATTGGGGAAATTACCAAATTGCATCGCGAAGCAAGCGCTAACTTGGAATTCTGAAGGGAAACGAAAAAGAGGAAAGCCGAAGAACACAACACTGCGTCGGGAAATAGAAGCAGATGTGAAAAGGACGAATATCAACTGGAAAGGACTGCCCAGGACAGGGTTGGATGGAGATTGCTGGTGGGTGGCCTATGCTCCTCCACGAAGGCTAACAGGCGCAAGTAAGTAAGTGAAGTAAAGTAAAGTAGAGTAAAACAGAGCAAAGTAAGGAAGGTCAGTGAATGAGAACATTTTCTACACCAGATTTTGATTCATTCTGCTGTATAGTCTGAATGATCTTACCAAACAATCGATTGTGTTGATGAACCAGCTGGAACAAATCGTTTAATCACTTTGCATTGTAATTTTAACTGGATTGGAGATGCATATTAGGCAAGGAATTCAAAAACTGTTGCCTTCTATTTTGTTACAGATTCAGATCGCCACCTGGTTGTGGGCAAGACGAAACTAAAGCTAAAAAACACTTGACAACCGGAGAAACGGCAGTACAAAGGTTCAATATAGCCTTCCTTCGGCTAACTAACAAACTCAACGAATTCAAGATAAATCTCAACAACAGATTCAAGCCTTAAGGGATAGACTGAAACAAGAAACTACGGAGGACAACTGGAAAGGGATCAAAGAAGCAGTAAATTTAACGTATCAATGGATGTTATCCAGTGTTGTGCACCCACCAATGATAGCAACGACGACGATAACGATCAGTTTTACGAGAGGCTACAATCGATCATAGCGTAGTGCTCAGGAAAGAACCTGACCATCCTGATGGGAGACCTAAATGCCAAAGCCGGAATGAACAACATCGAGTATAGAGACATAATGGAACGACATGGACTAGGAGAAAGAAACGAAGACTGTAAGCGATTTGCGAACCTATGTGCACTCAACAATGATAGAGCCTCCCTTCGACATACTGACAAACTCAACGAATTAAGAAGGGATCTCGGCAACAGGTTTGACGCCTCAAAGAAGAAAAACTACTATGGGGAACAACTGGAAAGAGATCAAAGAAGCGCGAACTTCAACATGTTAGGAGTTCCTGTTGAATAGTCAATTAAGTGGGACTCGTCACTATACATCAACTTCCTTGACTATGAGGTGTTTGACAGCGTGGATAGGAGAACCTTGTGGAACTTTGTTCGACACTATGGTGTAACTCGGAAGATCGTCAACGTCATCCGAAATTCATACGACGGACTGCACTGCAAAGTCGTGCATGGAGGACAGTTGACAGACACATTCTGGGTGAGGACCATAGTCAGATGAGGCTACTTACTCTACCCCTTCATCTTTCTTCTGGTGGTCGACTGGATTATGAAGACCTCCACATCTGAGGGGAAGCACGGAATACAATGGATAGCTCGGAATCAATCGGAAGATTTGGACTTCGCACATGACCTACCCCTTCTATCTCATACACACGAACAAATGCAGATGAAGACAATTAGTGTAGCTGCAGTCTCTGCATCAGTAGGTCTCAACATAAACAAGAAAAAAAGTATGATCCTCAAATGCTGCAACACGGAGAACAACTCAATCACACTTAATGGGGAAGCTCTGGAAGAGATAGAAACTTTCACGTATCTGAGAAGCATCACCGATGAACAAGGAGGATCTGATGTAGACGTAAAGGCAAGGATTGGTTTAGCAAAGGCCGCACTGCTATAATCGAAAAACATATGGAAATCAAGACAACTGTCAACCAATATCAAAGTCAGAATCTTCAATACGAACGTCAACACAGTCCTACTAAACGGAGCTGAAACTTGGAGAACTACTACAACCATCATCATCACAAAAGTACAAGTACTTATGAACAATTGTCTATGTAAGTTGCTCAATGTCCGTTGACTGGATACCATCAGCAACAGCCCACTATGGGAGAGAACAAACCAGCTTCCAGCTGAAGAGGAAATTAGGAAAACACACCGGAAGTGGATAGGACAGACAATGAGGAAATCACCAAACTGTATCGCGAAGCAAGCGCTAACTTGGAATTCTGAAGGGAAACTGAGAAGAGGAAGGTCAACGAACACATTACACCGGGAAATAAAAACATAATGAAAAGGATAAATCACATCTGGAAAGGATTGCCTAGGACAAAGTTCGATGAAGTAAGCTGGTGGGCCACCCAAGTGTATCCGTTAAGCGTAAAAGACGTGCAATTGTAACTAGGTATTTTTTATCCTAAATTTTCGTCACATTAATATTACTATTATTCATGCCTTCTGCTTCCATCGACTTCGTATAACTAAAAGCCAAATAATCAGAAGCATTACTTGATTTTATTCAACTGGTGAGAATTTATTCTTATGACTTATGCACGAGATAAATAGTGGTAGTAGTAATAAATTGAAAGTGCTTACAGTTTTGGAAATTCATACTGTTAACTTCTACAAAAGTTTCTTACTGTTGTAATCTTTTCTTCTACACAAAAGCGCGTGTTGTTAGGCATTTTTATACATCACGAATGATCGTTAAATGCTCAAATAACAATTATCGTTTGTTTGAAACATTTAGAACTAGCAGAAGCTGAATCACTCATGTTTTTAAAGACTTTTACGTACACATGTTTATTTGTTATAAATGGGAGATGAACCGGATTCCTGGCATGAAAACCAACACAATAGCATGCACACAGTACGCTTTTTCGAATAATGAAGAGAAAATGTTTGCACTCGCAAGAGACAGAATAAACAAAGATCTGGAGCCAAGGTAGATATTCTTTGGGAATAAAGTGATATATCTGATCACCACATATTAAAACGTTGATTTATTGTGAATTTATCCTTTGCACGCTTCTCCGTAAGAGGAGAAGAATGTGGGAAAGATTTAGGTTACTGGATACTAATGAGACTAAATCTCAATATCGAGAGGCTTAAAATACTTATGCCTTGACCGTCCGTAAGTCTAGAAGGTTGTACAAATAAAAAATCGTTGAGTAATCTACAGAATGCTTTAAACGCTTGTATCTGTACATAAATCAAAGGGCTAAAGGAAGAGGAAATATTCCAGCACTATGTGGAGACAGTAATGCTTCATCATTAGTAAAGGGTGTGGCGCCTATATATCTGGTGTCCCATTGTACCAATATTTATGTACAAATAAATAAATTAGTAAAGGACGACCATGGTAAAGCTCAAGTATTGTCAAACTGCAATGGCAATTTATATACCGTTTAACACCCTTCCCGTCAGTACACACGAATCCACCACACACACACTGGACAACGTGACCATTAAAAAACTCGTTCTTTTTGGTCTGTTAAATAAGCTTGATATAAGTAAGTCTACGGGACCTGATGAACCGCGTCCTAGGTTACTAAAAAACTAGCTAATTTCTTTGCGAACCCCTTGAGTATATGTTCTAATCTATACATAGTCCCGGGTTAATTACCAAAAGATTGGAAGAAAGCCATAGTAAGTCCTGTCTTCAAAACACGTACGAAACATGAACCTGAGAACTACCAGCCCGTTAGCCTAACAAGCTTGGTTGCTGAAATTTCAGAAAAGATTATTCGGAAGGAGCTGCTTAAGTATCGCGATGAGGATAATCCTTTCAGAAATGCAGCATGGCTTGAGAATAGGTTACTCATGTCCCACTAAATTATTAGTGGCTCGTGAAAGCTAGTGCTCTTTTAAAGACAAAAAGTTACCTATAGACGTAGTCTACATTGACTTCAGAAAAGCTTTTGACAAAGTTCAGCACAACCGACTGCTATATAAGTTAAGAAATGTTGGGGTTGGAGGCAATCTATTAATGTGGATAAAATACTACATAGTTGGGCGCCAACAAAGAGTACAAGTAAACTCGAAGTTGTCTAGCTGGGAAACTATGCTTAGCGGAGTGCCTCCGGGGACAGTTTTGGAGAGTGTTATTCCTCTTGTATGTGAATAATCTTCATCGTCTCCTATCATAGTCGATGTTGCTATATGTTGACGATGTTAAGATATAGAGAGTGACAAAAAGTAAAGGTTATGGGTTAGAGCTGCAAAATGACTTGGAGAAATTATCTAAATAGTCTCAAATTTGGCAGTTGCCGATGAACACTACCAACTGCATTGTGATGCATATTGATCGTCAAGGTACAGATACATACATGATGAATAACATCGAGCTACCTGTTGTCCAGACACACAATGACTTAAGTCATCGTTAGCCGAGATTAGAGACTACTGTACATTGTCTCGCAATAGTCCCAAAGGCTTTAGAACCTTATGGTGAATATGTAGGGTCTATAGCCATGTTAACGATAAGACTTTTTTGGCTTTTAATACAGTATTCGTGCGTCCTAAACTTGAGTGCTGCATACAAGCGACTAGCTTCTGCTTGAAAATGTTCAGAAAACAGCGAATAAACTGATTTCCGGTATAATGAAGCTTCTGTATGATGTTCGACTGGCTAAACCAAACTTTTTTCCATTGTCGTATCGAACTAGAGGTGACTTGATTATGGTTTTCAAATTACTAAGTGATAAATTCGCATCTGATATGCCCTCACTTTTCTTGTCTTCCAAAACAAAGGATTTACGAGGACATTTCTCAAAAGTTCACAAGCCCAGAACAAATTAACTGTCAGCTGACTTTTGACTTTCCTATAGAATCATCAACGAGTGAGATTCATTACCTCAACACGTGGTTGAAGCTCAATCTGTCGACTCTCTCAAAATAAAAGTTGAATCAACTGACAGACCATCATTGACAAAACTGACACAGGCCATATAGCTTACTATCCTTTTCAAACTGAAGCTGCTCTTTTACTTATTTTAAAATGACCTTGAAAAGGCCCACTTACTAATTGGGATCAAACACAGGTTAGAAAGCAGTGAGGAATTATAATTATGATTTACAGTTGATGGTAGGGTTAAGAATTCGAATTACGGTTTGCATCAGGAACTTGAATCAACTATAATACAGAAATAGTATCCATCCAAATGAGTGGATGAAATTCTCGCTAAAATACAAGACCCGCTATCTTAAATCTGATTAGTTTGTCCATGAATTATAGTCTCGCCGTTGTATCCTTTAAAGACTAAAAATATCAGTCAATTATGAGGTTACTCAGCCTTCCCAAAAACCTGTCCTATTTATTTATTCATTGCTAATAACATGACGTTGAATGGTGTTGTTTGGTGTTCTACAGGTATAGTCATCATAACTTTTGATTGGATCATAAGGTAACACTTGTGACTACTCATCTAGCAAGTTGTTGTTTCAATACAGTTTTTGAAAGTACAGCTCACATATCAAACGACATCAGATAAAAAGTGCACCATGTACGTATATTGACAATTATATAAGCAATTGATAAACATGATCGTACTCAACTCACATATGGACAAAGAGATAATGTGTGATGGGTGAAATATTTCGACCGATTCATACCCTCAAACACATGGCCAATCATTGGACCTTTGTCTTTTCTAAGCTGACTTCCTTGAGAGTTAAAGGATTCAAATTCTTACATTTGGATTAACTTTTTGCACACATCTACATGGTGGAAATATCTAGACACAAACATAGAAACGGGGTCACTTGGGTTAAGTCGCCATACATAAGGACGATATATAGGTATTTCGCTGAACAAATTCTGAAAGGAGAACAACTTTTGCATTTTCGATATGCCTGAATGATCTTTAGATGCAATCCTTTCATGGTCAGCTGCACTTGAAAGGCTGTATAATGGATCTACGAAAGGATACCAAATAAATTTGTTGCAGCGGTTACCATAAAGATAATCATGTTTTCTTTCTTTAATCGTCATCCGCTCATTAGGAAGCAACATCTCTTATTTGACTGGAACATCCGCGTTTATAATCATGTTGATATGGTTACAACACAGTTAAACGAACAGTGTATTTCAAATTCACTTGTGTTACTGTTTGTATCAGAAACTTACTAACTTGTAAAACTTGTTCCAAAAAGAGTCAAGTCTACTTTATATTAAGACAACTATCTATTCTAATGAACTTGTGAGAACCAATTGTTTTTTCTGGTGATGGCTTCTTGATTTAACGGTACGATTTCAGATATTCAGTACTATACAGTATAAATAGTCAAGATAACCTGTTGCGCCTAACGTGATGGACGTGATAGTAATTTAAAGGTTAATACTTCTTGTGTATACACAAGTGTCTCCCTATAAAGCAATCTACCTAATAGCTGTGGTAATGTCAGCTGTGAAATTGAAGATACCACAGGTATTGTAGTTTGACAACACTTTACCAGTAACATCTCCCATAATCGAATCGCGCCCACTCAGTGAAATCAAAAGTCAGAAACGAGGAGGTTGGAAGATATATTTGATAGATTATTGAACTATCGAGAAGTGACTGGTCTAAACTGGCTAGTGATCGCAGGAGAAGTTGAACATAGCGTTCTCACTCGTGATCTGGTGCGCGACATTACCACTCAATTTGTTATCGAACGAACATCAAGTTGATTCTGGTGGGAGGGTAGTGTAGTGGTATTGGGCCCAAACCACCCAACACTCAAAGCTGGTAGCGAGAGAACTGAAAAAAACAGATGTTCCGCACTTAACGTGTTGACAAACTCAACGATAAATAAAACGGGAGGAAAGGAATACAATCAGATCTAATAGGGTGGCATGACTCAGCCTTGCAGGCGTAGTAGCACAATATGACTTATTTCTAGTCCTGGAAAAGAGAAAAAACAGAACGTGTGAGTGCATGTCGAAAATATACTCGTACTTGCGTAAGGACACAAGATGAGCGGAAAAAAATGAATAAACAAACTAATACACTTGCGACAGCGTAAAAGCGATTGTAAAAAGAAAATTGTTTTTAAAAAAACATATATATACGCTCATAAGAATAAAAATTGTTTTTTTAAAAAAATAAATATTTGAAAATAAGCATATTGAAAATCATTTTTCTATGATAAATAATGCAAAGAGAATTCCAGATAAAGTTTGTGTCCTACGTGCAATAGTCGTTTAGATATTCTGGAAATCTTACTCGTCTTCAAGAACGCGTTGTTTTAGGTTTATCTATCGACGTTGACGAAGTATCAAGGTGTGTGTCGGCTGTCGTATAGGGCACTACAGGTGAAGAAGCCGTGTCGTTCGAACGTACTAAAGGAAAATCGACGTAGCTAGGGTTTCCTTCTAAGTACGCTGCTTTGAGTTGATCGGTACTGATGATACCGTTCGTACCGTTCTTATCGACTACATAGTACTTAGGTTTGCGTTGAAGAACTTTGAAGGATCCTTCGTATGCTAATTCGAGAGTTCGTCGATGTGAGTCTCGGTGAACGAAGACGTGTGTACAATGTAGTAATTCGGGTTGAACGAAAACATCAGTTGATTGAGGTCGAGTGTGAGCAGGTTCAACTGAATGCATAGCGTTTGTAAGCCTATTCGTGTAAGAGTTTAGATCCATGTTCAATAAAGAAGCTGAAGGATCTACGATTTCTCCTGGGAGTCGGAGTGTCGTTTCATAAACGAGTTGAGATGCCGCGTATCCAATGTCAGCTTTCACTGAATTGCGGATACCTAGCAAGACGAATGGAAGAGCGTCTGTCCACTGTGAAACGTTTGCAGCTGATAATGAAGCTTTTAGTTGTCGATGAAAACGTTCTACCAACCTGATTGCTTGTGAGTGGTAGACGGTCGTTCGGAAGCGAGTGATTCCTAATAGTGAGGTCAGACAGCGGAAAAGTTGAGACTCGTACTGGCGCCCGCAGTCTGTAGTGACGGTTGAAGGGCAGCCGAAATTCCCTACCCATCGTAAGACGAAGGCGCAGACTACTTTCTCAGCAATAATATCCTTAATCGGTACTGCTTCTGGCCACCGAGTGAAACGGTCTACGCATAATAATAATAATTTATTCTCAAATAACAGATTGTTGCATGAGGCATGCCGGTTTACAGGCAAGATCAAATTGTTAAAGAAGTTACAATTTTCACTGTTGAAAATTACTCGGCTGGGTTGATATTTCATAAGATATGCATGTAAATGGATTTCGTAAGAAACATGTCAATATCACACTTGGCGCACTTTATGAAGGTAGCGTTGCAACATACAACTGATGGTCGAGAATAGATACATGCGAAGTTGGGGGCTTTTAGAAGTTTCGAACTTATATTCCTCCGGAATATCGGAAGCTTTAACAACGGTGTAGGACGAAGTCACCCGTGCCATATCTGTTTTCGGTGGAGTATCTGCAGGAGGCTGAAAAAGGAAGGACGAAAAGCAGAGTACACAATATTCATGGAGGAATAGTTAAGGTATAACCATTTAGTCTATTTGTCTGTTACTGAAGTATTTATTAGGTATGAACATACTAATGTGCTAAAGAAAAATAAGTGTGGGCAAGGTATGAGTGGGTAAGGAACTGTATAAATGAAGGTAGTTCAGAAGAAAGTATGGAATTGTGTAATTATAAAATAAAGTTCTGAAAACAGTAATCCGATACAAATGTCTGTCTCCTTTTTTTCGAAGCTGTTTGAACTCTCTTTTTTTGTTTTCAGATTTTATAGGGTATAGAGTGGGCTTCGTTTTTAGCCAATTGTCTAGTTTGCTTGTAATAGGATTACTCGGTAGGAAGTGGAACCAATTTAGCTTTTTTAAACATGATCTAAAGTGGTATTTTTCATGAATAATTTCGCATCAATACCGTTGGTTCGTGACATTCCACTAGACATAAGGAGCCGTAATTAATATGTTCTGCCCTACAGACACGGGTGGATTGAGGTTATCTCCTGTTATATCCCCCGGTGAATTACGAATGGTAACTTTTAGGTCTTATTATGGATCAATGTAATGCGTCTATTTCCTGCTGTACAATTATTACGTAACTGAACTATTCATATTCGTATTTCTCTTATCATCAGCTTTATTTTGACCTTTGACTTATTATCATATGATTCGCATTTCCACGAAGCTGATCGGTTAACGTTTTCATAAGGGATGCGCATTTGGGTATAAACCGTCTATAGAAACTTACAAGTCCGTTAAAAGTTCGAAACTGCTTGATCGTGGTCGATTCTGGGTAATCCAGAATGGCCGCTACTTGTGTGTCCTAAGAAGTCTAAAGAATTTGTTTCGATTTGGCATTTCTGAATGTTGACAGTAATGCCGTGCCTTTGGATTCGTTCGAAAACAATGTCCAGATGCTGGAGATGTGATTCTCTGTCCGGACTTGCAGTGAGGCAATCATCAACATGCGCATGTACGAAGTTGAGACCTTGGAAGACGTCGTCTATAAACCTATGGAAGGTCTATACCAATGATTGGCATAGAAACATCTGGAATCACGAAAATCCAGTGTATGGGTTTGCGTAAACCCACGTTAAGGTAGACGTACCTTTTACCGTAAGTAGCTATCGGCTTTCCGTTTGCCGCCTGTAAACTTAAAACAGACTCGCGAAGTCTGTTGTCGGGATTTGCTGGAAGAACGCTAACTTCTGCGCCAGTGTCGACGAGGTAGCGAACTTTCGTTGTCGCATCCGTGACATATAAGAGGCAGCTGTGATCGCCGGCTACAGTTGCCGTTAACGCGTGCCGGCTGGGAAGTTTCCCGAAATATTATTCATGTCAGTCGCTTTAGACTTCGGGTAATTGCAGGGCTTCCTGCAATTTCTAGAAGATTTACCATACTGGTTGTGATACCAGCACCAGTCGGGGTTGTCTGTCTCTCGTGATCGAGAGGCAGATCGCCTACGTGAGACACTTCTACGCGGGGTTTTTGACCGACTACGGTCATTACGAAGTTTAAGATATCTTGTAAGCGTGTGACATAGTTCAGTTATGTCAGTTGGGGTCGATTGAGGTTTTTCCTTAGAAGATTTAGTGATTTCTAAGATTCGGTCGGCAGATGCAGCCAGCTCATCTACGGCGTTGTTTTGAAATTAGACGAGCACTGCCTGCACCTGATGAAGAAGTTTAGACAAGAAGGGTTGTCTGAATAGGCCATCATCGAAAGTTCGTTGGCCGATAACCTCTCCCATTCTTAGCAACATGTCTGTCGCATAACCATGTTGCAAGTCGATGTTATGCAGGAGTTGGTCTAACCGTTGTCGGTCGGTTAGGTCTCCACGTTTGAGAATCGAACATTTGAGAGTTTCGTAAGGTTCAGGAACATCACTAGTAAACATACTAGGTGTTACGTACCTGTTAAACTCGCGCGGTAACGCCTTAACTACAGCGAGGAATCGTGTGCGCGAGTCCATGATTCCGTGCATGCAAAAATCAGCTTCTGCGTAGCAGAACCAGGACTCGATATTGTCGGGCCAAAATGGCGTTAACTGAATCGAAATAGGGGGAATAGACTTTAACTTAAAAACCTTGGGTGAGTGTTCCTTTATAGTAATATAGATAACGAAAAATGTCTAATTAAAATATATCCGGGAAAAAGAATTTGCGAAAAAACTGTATATCACAATATATAAAATTCAAATAAACAATAACAATGAATAATAGTATTCCAAAATGGAACAGACACAGTACATTGGCTTGGTGTACCAGATCACGTCGGTTCCACCATTGAAGATACGACTAGTATTCTGATTTTACAACCTGCTACCAGTACCACCTTCTATATACGAAGCTTTTCCCCAACCAGTGGAAATCAGAAGTCAGACGAGAAGATGTAGGAAAGATATATTTGGTACGTTATTGATATATCGAGAAGCGTTTGCTCTAATCTGGCCAGTGAACAGTAACACAAGTGAATTTGAAATACACTGTTCGTTTAACTGTGTTGTAACCATATCAACATGATTATAAACGCGGATGTTCCAGTCAAATAAGAGATGTTGCTTCCTAATGAGCGAATGACGATTAAAGAAAGAAAACATGATTATCTTTATGGTAACCGCTGCAACAAATTTATTTGGTATCCTTTCGTAGATCCATTATACAGCCTTTCAAGTGCAGCTGACCATGAAAGGATTGCATCTAAAGATCATTCAGGCATATCGAAAATGCAAAAGTTGTTCTCCTTTCAGAATTTGTTCAGCGAAATACCTATATATCGTCCTTATGTATGGCGACTTAACCCAAGTGACCCCGTTTCTATGTTCGTGTCTAGATATTTCCACCATGTAGATGTGTGCAAAAAGTTAATCCAAATGTAAGAATTTGAATCCTTTAACTCTCAAGGAAGTCAGCTTAGAAAAGACAAAGGTCCAATGATTGGCCATGTGTTTGAGGGTATGAATCGGTCGAAATATTTCACCCATCACACATTATCTCTTTGTCCATATGTGAGTTGAGTACGATCATGTTTATCAATTGCTTATATAATTGTCAATATACGTGACGAGACTATAATTTATGGATAACCTTTTGAGCGATCCTTGAGAAATGATTGCCATTCAGTAAACAGTCAGCATTGGGTAAAAATATATTATACAAAACGAAATAATTATAGTGCATGCACTTCTTTTATGCGGTCCTAAAACTTGTCAAGGTTAGAAAGTGTATCGAAGATTTCAAAGTCGTAATGCATATTGTAAAGGAACTCAGCCACATGTTTCTATAATAGTTGTTCTCTGGAACCACGATATGATCACACAAACCCTCTCAGCCTCGACTACATAGCTTCATTATTGTTTGTGTGTACTCTGGTTATGTACATTTATTATTTTCATAATGGATATGTCCCCACAACACTCATACCACTGAACAGCCCAATGGCGAGACCAAAATATACTGCCGAGTTAATCAGAAGCTTTCGCGGGTTTTCAAGGTCACGGCGCTAATTTTGGTTCATGATGCTTACGTACGATCGCTTTACAGCGGATTTTAAGGAAGACGTGATAATTCAGCGTCTAAAAGAGAAGTGATCATAAGATTTTGGCGCGAAATTCAATCATCCATTTGTATAAAGAGTTTTGGCATTATAGCTGATGTCAGTTCGTGATGAAAACCCTAAATATAATTCCTAGCCTTACTCATGAACTTTAAATCATAATTTGAATCCTTCACACAGGTTTATACACTCATTTGAGACCTTATCATGGTTTCAGAGATCGATTACTATGGAGCCATATGGATGTGTTCCTGTACCATATGCACTATGATCTTGCAACTTCTGAACCTATATCTCATCTTGTATTTTATATTTCACTGTATGCTGACTGTCTTCTGATTGGCCAATATTTCTCAAGGTCATTTAAGATTCGTTCAAATGTCGGCAGTATAGTTTAGTCTCGCCCAGTCGAAGCTTCAGTAATATCTGCGATTATGGGAGCCAATGTTGCTGGTTCTTCTATTATACAGTACGCGGAAATCGTTATAATATGCTTTAATCTCAATCTGGATCCAGCGATAAAGGTTCGGATTCTAGCAAACGTCTTGCTTCTACATGTATTAATGGTTCAAATGGTTGAGGACGGAATAGAAGAAGCTTTCGCTTAACGGGCTTCCGTGTCTAGTAGCAGTGGATCACCAATAATTCCAGGCAAAGACCTAGGTATATGAACGATAATAGAGGGAAAAAAGAATTTGGTAAATCATAATAATATGTTATCCTTAGTCCTTAAGAATAAGTCAAGTTTTCTCTTAAAGGACTCCTGGGAGGTCGCTTGGACTAGCCCAGTCGGCAGCGAATTCCAGCACTTGACAACTCTTACGGAGTAATAGTTGTATCTGCAGTCTGTTCTGCTATGTAGGGTCTCCAATTTCTGGGTGTTACCTCTTAGGTTGTTGTTATGACTAAGCTTAAGAAGATGTTTAAGGGGATGACCAGAAGTATTAAGGATACTATAAGTCATAAGAAGGTCACCTCTAAGACGCCTGCACTCTAACGGGTAAAGGTTAAGTGATTTGAGGCGCTCTTCATAAGGTTTGAATTTGAGTCCCCGAACTGATTTCGTGGCTCGACGTGGTATACGTTCCAGGGTGACCTTATCCTTTTGGAGGGAGGGAGGAAATACTATGTTTCCGTACTCTAAGTGGGGACGAATAAAACTGTTGAAGATTATATGGAAGGTTCTACCGTCAAACTGGCCAAAAATGCGCTTCAATGTTACCAGTGCAAGGTTTGCTTGAGAGGCGTTTTTGTCACAGTTCGCATACGATTTCAGGTCATAGGGTACCAACACTCCTAAATCTTTTTCAACTTGGGAAACTTCTAGAGGTGAGTTACCTAAGTTATAACTATAGTCTGCAACATGTCTCAGATGGACTACCTTGCACTTTGAAGTGTTGAAGGTAAGTCCGTTGTCGTCTGCCCAACTTTGAAGTCGGGTCAGATCCTCCTGAAGGACTAGTATATCATTATGACTAGGTATCTCTCTCCAAAGTTTCACATCATCAGCAAAAAGCAATAAGTTAGATGAAACTTGTTGAGGAAAATCGTTAATATAAATGAAGAAGAGAAGAGGTCCTAGTTTTGAACCCTGGTGGACTCCACTAGGACATTCCATAGCCTGAGAGAGAGTGAAGTTAACCATGACCTTAAAGTGTCGGTTTTCTAGGTATGAAGAGATCCAATCAATCAGAGGGGGTTTTATACCCAATTGTCCAAGCTTCTTGATAAGACATGCGTGGTTGACCCTATCAAAAGCTTTGGAGAAGTCCAGGTAGATGACGTCAACCTTCCCTTGCGATCAAGGATGGTTGTCCATCTATCCACCGCAGTCAGCAGGTTAGTCATACAAGAGTGACCTTTTCTGAAACCATGCTGTTGAGGTGAGAAGAACTTTGAGGATGATAAGTATTCTAGTATACCGTTGTATATTAGGGATTCCATAATTTTGGAAGGTATGGAGAGAAGGTCCACTGGTTGGTAGCTTGAGGGTTCATTGCGTCGACCTCCTATGAAAATTGGTGTGATGTGGGCGAGCTTCCAAATTTCCGGTAGTTTGCCTCTGCTTAGCGAGTGTGCAAACATCACGCTAAGTGGTATCGCCAGGATTGAAGCTGCTTCCCTCAATACGGCGGAATGAACCATATCCGGACCAGGAGAAGTGTCTTCTCTTAGGTGCTGAAGTTTACGGAGCACCAGGTCAGCACTCAGGTCCACTTCGGAAATTCCTGTACAGGTGCAGGTGAAGCTTTCGTCAGTATAGTTGATATGGGTCATCTGAAATGTCTGGGATTATTGTTCAGCCAAGAGGTTAGCGGCACCACTGTCGTTATTGGTCGGGCCATTAGGGCCTGGCAGTTGAGAAACTCCAGTTTTGCCTTGTCAAAGAGAAGATGCGTAACTGAATAAGCTTTTCGGATTGGAGACGAATCTATCGATAAGCTTACTCTGGAACTGAAGCCTGTCTTCTCTTATAGCCTTTGTGCATATGTTCCTTATGCGTTTATATTGCCTGTATGCGTCGTTATTGTCATTTCGTATATATTCGGCCCAACAGTGCCTTTCGCAGCTTAGCAAACGACGAGTGCGGTTCTTGATGATTGGAGGTTGTTTGTAGCTTTCTGGGACCATCTTAGGAACTGAATGCTCAGTAGCACATAAGATCGTGTGCAGTAAAAAATCCCAATGAGCATCCACTTCAAGTTGAGGGTGAACATCCCAATCCACCTGTTGTAGATAGTCATGTAAAGCTAACACATTCAACCGTTTGAAGTTCCAGCGCTTGTTGCTAGTAGGATATCGTAGCTCCGTCTGCTGACAAAGCTGAATGATAAGACGGCGTGATCACTTTTCCTCAGGGGAGCCAGGATTGAGAGGTCGTCAACTAGGAATTCTTCATTTGTGAATACCCAGTCTAAGCGTGACGGCGTCTGACCGTTTCTCCAACGAGTTGCCGACTTCACATTTTCGAATAATCCCAGTTCACCGATGAGGTTGAAGAACAGAGCTTCAGTAGAGTTGGCACCACCAATGTATGTATGTTCCACGAAGTTGATTCTAGTAAGATTGAGGTCCCCTAGAATCAGGATTTGAGAGAATCCGAGACGCGTAGAGCGAGTTAATCCTTCCAGCAGACGATTGTCATACTCAATGTCGGCAGTGTGCTTCCTCTAGATGACCCCGACTTGACACCTCGAGGTGGTAGACAATCTTACTGAGCACCATAAAGACTAATCAAGATTGAGAAACTCTTGGTTGTGAAGTTGGTGCGCATCCAGGCATGACCGTACGTATAGTGCTACCCCACCCCCATTCCTGTTTTTCTGTCGTTGCGAAATAAAGACATCCCAGTTATTGCTAAATCTTGGTCTGTAAACTGAGACGTTATCCAAGTTTCGGATATTCCTATCAGATGGGTATCATTAGCGTTGCTAAGTTCACGTAGCTCGTCCATTTTGTTTGGCAAGCTCGCGGCGTTCGTTTATAGGCAGTTTATGCTTTCAATTTGGAATGCGTGAGATTATTCCTGTTTGTCTATATGAGCCGTGGGTGAGTGGACAGGTAGCCTACCTATACGATGTTTACCGAGTTGGTAGTCCCTGTCCTTTACACGTTTTTTTTATGATCAAGATAGTCCACGAGTGGAATTGTCAGCTCCAGCTTTCGTTTGTGCTTGATCCTGCTGTCGTGGGGCCTACCCGGATGCATATGAATGCCAGTTGGCATTCGATGTCTATTGGCACGAAATGCTTCCACAGTTGCAGCCGCCATGTGGGAGGAGGGGAAGGTTATCTTCAATAGCCGGGGCCTAGAGTCTCCGTCTCTCTTGGCCAGTCTCATTACCTGTTGGGTCAATATGTTCTTGAGTTTTAAGGAATGCTTGATGAATTTCCATTCCGGAATATCAGAGTTTGCTTGAGTTGGGTCCATATTTTCCGGTACACCTTGAACAATGATGTTTCGTCCGTGGAAAAACGCCTCGCGAGATTACTTAGGGATGTTCCGGATGAGATTTCGTTCAGAATACGGTATGTCGGGCAGTATTCTTACGTTCCCATCGGATTTCAGTTAGTGACTGGCTAGCAGGACGTCCTCAACGTCGGAGGCATTCTTAAGTGTAACACGAAGCAGGCTCGGGTGGTTTAGGTGGTTAGAGTCCTTCCCCCAAGTGAGTCGTGTGACGGTCAAAAGCTCTATTCTAGGGAGTTCAAGCTTCTTGATTAATTCTCCTCAGAGCATCCTATCATTTTTGTCCTGCAAACTGAGAGGAAGGTCGGGATTGTCAATAAGGTTCATGATTATGACAGAGTCGTAACGAATCGT